AGGCAGGTTAAGAAAGCTTAAGTCTGGGGAAGGAGAAGTTGTGGGGGGTTGATATTACCAGAATAAGGATTATATAGTCTTAGAACTCAGAAAGCAGAAGGGAAAATTCCAAGAAGGCCATGGTCAACAGTGTCAAATGCAACAGAGGGGTCCAGAAAGATGAGAAGGGATCAAAGGCTCCTCCATGGCTTTGGCTGAGAGATGGTTTTGGGCAGCCTTTGAATGATTTCGGAGGAATGGGAAGAAAATCAGCTCTTCAGGCTTCCGGAAGTAGTGGGTGGTGAGCAAAGGAGGGTGGTAATGATGAGTTCTCATTCAAAAGCTGAGCTATGAAATGTAGAGGAGAAATAAGTGGAAGGGGAGCAGGGTCAAGTAAAGAGCAAACCTTTAGGGAAACCCAATGAGACCTTTTCCTATAACATAACCGACTGATCTTATCACAAATAAGGACACACTGTTCTTTTCAGGGCAGAATTTTCAGAAGAAGACTCAAGTCTTCCTCCTAATCCCAACAACTCCAAGCGTCAACAAATGTCATGTCTCCTAATACTTTTAAATTTAATCATTTTTAGAAATACGCAAAATTGGCAAATCTCTCTTACCTAATCTAATTAGTTAGCTTTAGTTCTTTGGCCAGGTATCCCTATCTCTAGCTTCTAGTAAGAGGCTAGGCCAACTTGTATAGCATAGAGTTTTAAAATAATACTCAAGGTAAGATGGAACAGCAACTGTCTGTGTGGACATGCACATACTTAGCAGTGATCAGACTAGGTTTGAGATGACCGAGGATGTTTCTAATTCTCTGGAATAGTGTAGTGGTGTCTAAAAACAATTCGAACCACTCTCAGTGTGAAATTAATTTTAATTTAGAAAATATGTCACACAATGTTTCCAAGAGGAAAAAGGCACCCATAGAATTATGATCGCTGAAAACTACTGGGACCAAATACAATTTGAGGAGAGGATGGGGAAGCGGAAATGAGAAGCCCAGGGATAGACCGATGGGAGACAAAGAGTCTCCAGGGGTAGCTGCAGGATGACCAAAGAATTGAGAGATCAGATGACCATAGATTTAGAAATGGAAGGGATTTCTGAGGGCCGTCAGTCTAACTTACTCACGTAGAGTGGAGGAAATTGAAACCCAAAGGGGCTGAACAATCTGACCAAGATCACATCGGTGGTAAGTGGCAGAGCCCACATTTGAACCCAGGACCTCTACTCCAGACTCAGCCCTCTTTTGCTTGTACCAACCACATGGAAGCTCGTTTTTCCAGGAAGAATGTGCATCTCCCACACATGTTGAGACCTTGGAGCCAAGCCCCATTGACCTCCTAATGGTTCTAGATCTGGATGTCCTCAATGAGGACTAGGAGTCAGAGACAGTCAAAAGTCACAATTTAAGGCCCACTTATTGAGCTCCCCATCTTGTTTCAGCTTGCAGACAGGAGAAGAACAACTCTATCTTACTTCAGGGTATGTCAACATTTCGACCAACACACTACGCAGTGGCAAAATGTATTCCGTTTGGGTGCAAGCTGCAAATGCTCTAGGCAAGGCGGAGTCGGATCACCTGCAACTTCACCTTGATGACATAGGTAAAGATTTCAAATTTTGATCATGGCATTGGTAAAAACCTAACGCAACAAATATTTATTCACCACCTAGTATGCGCTGGTTACTGGTGCAAGACATTGGAGACACAAAGACAATGCAGTCCCTTCCTTAAAAGAGCTTCTGAACTAACCTGTGCAAATGTGACCTGAGATAGCCTGGCTGAGACAAAGGCTGGTGTTGCATAACGTGTGCCTGGAAGAAGGCTCACACAAAGTCAACAAAGCTCCTTAGTATTCATCTGCATCCATACAAGTACAGCATAGAAACAGATGTCTAAATTAAAGTTAATTCACCCCAGCTTACAGAAGAACCTTTCAGAGTCTGCTTTCATTTCTCTGTTAAAGGGACAGGGACTTGGGGAGGAAAACATAGTTAGAAGGTCGTTATTGAACTGGCATATGGAAATAGAATTGTTCTGCACTTCTCCTCTCTGGTCACTACATTTTCCCACCCTCCCTTCTTAGACACTTTAATAGTGTTTGTCTGAGCCCCTTTATAATGTCATAGGATCATGGAGCTAAAAGAGACCTTAGAGGTCATTGAGTCTAACCTCTTCATTATACAGATGAGGAAACGGATGCCCACGGAAGTGAATTGGCTTGCCCATGGTCACACAGACAATCAATAGGAGAGAGAGAGAAGAAAGTAAAGAGAGAAGACACACACACACACACACACACACACACACACACACAGAGACAGAGAGAGAGAGACAGAGAGAGGGAAAGAGAGAGAGAGATTCAAACAGTTCTGACTCCACATCTGTGCCCTTCCATTGAACCACTTTGTCTATTACAGTTGTTTTTTTCCATCTTTCTTTTCTTCAAAACTTTTCCGCTTCCTCCATAAATACATATGAGACTGGGAGATTAGAATTCAGTGCGTTGACTCTGCTGTCCTTGATGGTAAAAATGCTTTAAAAACTTGCAGGGTTTGCATTTCTCTAATCAATAGTGATTTAGAGCATTTTTTCGTATGACTATAGATGGCTTTAATTTCTTCATCTGAGAACTGCCTACTCATATCCTTTGACCATTTATCGATTGGGGAATAACTTGTATTCTTATAAATTTGTCTCAATTCTGTATATATTTTAGAAATGAGGCATTTATCACAGACACTGGTTGTAAAAATTCTTTCCCAATTTTCTACTTTCCTTCTAATCTTAGTTGCATTGGCTTTGTTTGTGCAAAAACTTTTCAATTTATTGCAATCAAAATTATCCATTTTGTATTTTGTAATGTTCTCTATCTCCTGTTTGGTTATGAATTCTTTTGTCCTCCATAAATCTGATAGCTAAACTATTCTTTGCTCTCCCAGTATCAGCCTTTGTATCTATTGTTGTGCAATGACTAACATTGATAGACTTAGCCCTTCTCAGCAACGCAAGGATCTAAGACATCTCCAAAGGTCTCATGATGAAAAATGCTATCTACATCCAAAGGAAAGAACTATGGAGTTTGAATGCAAATTGAAGCATACTATTTGCTTTTTAATCTTCTGTTTTGTTTTGTTTCCTCTTTCTGATGGTCCCTCCTGTTGGTTCTTATTCTTCCTTAAAACATCACGGATGTGAAAATATTTTTAATAGGAATGTATGTGTACAGCTCATATCAGATTGTGAGCCATCTTGGGGAGGATTGGGGGAGGAGGGAGAGGGAGAAAAATTTTAAACTGGAAGTGATTATTGATAAATCAAAATAAATTAATAAAAAAAATTTGCAGGGACAGATAGCTGGTGCAGTGGATAGGGCACCAGCTCTGGAGTCAAGAGGAACTGAGTTCAAACCCAGCCTCAGACACTTGATACTTACTAGCTGTGTGACCCTGGGCAAGTCACTTAACCCGATTGCCTTACCTCCAAATTTTTTTTTTTTGCAGATCTTTTCCATTCTTCATCTGTTTCTTTTGCTCCGTCCAGTTTTGTCCTTAAATATCTCTAGGATAATGACTTGATTGGGTCTCTTATAAGCTTTCTTTGAAGCTGTTCCTTCCACTGTTTGTGTTCTATAAAGTGATGCTGCCCATTCTTCCACCATCTTTCTATATATGAGTTTAAATGCATTTAAATTTTAAATTGGCATTGCCTTTGGCTGCTGTATCTCTTATTTGGCCAAACAATCATATTTACTCTCCAAGGCGGCTTTTTACAGCTTCTTTTGGCATCCTTGTTACAGTAGTGGATTGATATTAGTTAAACTTTGTCATGAAATTGTTGTGATCCATCTCATTATCCTTTTCCTCCTCTTGTTTTCTCTATTTGTGAGTGTGTCAGTTACTTGTTCAAGTAGCGTCAGCTTTTTAAAATTGCATAGAGCATCTTTTTCTCATGCCTATTCCTTTTATTCACTTCAATTTTCTAACAAGTGGGTGATCTGTCTATGCACATTTAGCTGATCCAGGAATGTCTCCCACACCACTCATCAGTTATTTTCTGTCTATTAAAATAATTTCATTTTTCATAATATTATTTGGAGCTCCCCATTTCCAATGTCTTAACAGTTTTCTTGAAGAATGCATTAATATGAAGAAGCATCAAATTTCTGTGTAGCTACACTTTTGCAGGTTTTCTCCCTCTCCCTGAACTATATTTTCTTCTCTTTTTTAGCTGTTTTCTAATCTGTATCTTGATTGTCCTCACCTATACCCACCTTCACGATGAAGTTACTGGGCATATGTTGATTCCAGTTGGAGGTTCTTATGGAGTTCTTCCAAGTCTTTATCTCTTCATCCTCCAAAAGAGATGTTGGCATATAAACCGGGATTACTTTCAGGGAGGCTTTTTGGTAAATGTTCATGAGTACTGAAATGGGAGATGACTAAATATCTCATGAAATTGTACTGCTTGTTTCTATTAGACACATCATAAAATCCACTCCAACAGCTCCTTTATTTGCCTCCATAAAGAGATGGTAGAAACTATACATCCAGTTAGCTGAGACACTTTCTTCTGTGCTCTGGCTTCATTTAGAACAAGAGTTTTGGGGCAGCTAGGTGGCAGTGGATAGAGCACTGGCCTTGAAGTCAAGAGGACCTGAGTTCAAATCTGGACTCAGATACGTGATACTCACTAGCTGTGTGACCCTGGGAAAGCCACTTAACCCCTTGCCCAATTAACCACTTAACCAATTGCCTCACCAAAAAAAAAAAAAACCAAGAGTTTCAAATTTAGTTCACTGTATTAAAGCCAGAGCTAGAAACTATAGAATTTCAGAACTATAAAAACTATATGTGATATATGAATAGAATGTAGATATATGCATATAAAGTGTTTTGCAAACCTTAAAGTAGTATGTCAATGTTAGTTTCATTATTATTATTTTCATTATCGTTATTATTGTCAGATAGGAGTTTAAGATTAGCAAAGTGGTCACATGTATTACCTCATGAGATCCTCACGCTAGCCCTGGAGAGCAGGCATTGTTGTTCAAGCCTTCATCCTCTGACACTCCCTCTCTCACTTTCCACTTCTGAAATTATAATTGAATCAGTTACATCATTACTTCTGGAAAAGGTGCATCAACCTATTCTCCTGTGGCTTCAATCGTCATCCTTATGAGTTTCCAAGCCCAGAGAGCCCTTCCTGTCCACCTCTCCTTTGTACGTATCTTCTAGAATGTCAGCTTCTTGAAAGCAGAGACTGTGTATCTGCCTTTCTTGGTATCCTCCGTGCTTGTCACATAGTAAATACCTACTAAATGTTTTTGCTGTTGTTTTTTTTTTTCCCATTCATTCATATACATTCCTTTTCTGGCTGAGCCTAAACTATGCCCATTATTGTTTTATTTTCCAGTGATTCCTGCTCTCCCAGTTATTACAAGAGCTGAGGATTTAAATACATCAGTGTCCACAACCATCATTCACTGGAAAATCCAAACATCAATGGATGGAGTTTTCTGTGAGATGAGATACAAGGCAGCCACGAGGCCATCTTGGAATGTGAGCCAAACTTTGGTTTTTCCTTACTGCATGATCAATTTAAAGAAAGCAAACTGGCTGAAAGGGGCCCTGGAAGTATGGTCATTTCAATCCGGGGTTCTTAACCCCAGGCCCACAGACTCCCAAGGGGTACATCCTTCTGTAGATTTCAGGGAGCTAGGAATGGGGATGAAAAAGGGATGCATTTATTTTAGTATGATTGGTTTCCTTTATAATCCTATGCATTTTATTACATGCTTTTAAAAATCTTATTCCAAGGAGTAGCTAGGGGGCTCAGTGCATAGAGCATCAGCCCTGGAGTCAGGAGGACCTGAGTTCAAATCCGGCCTCAGACCAAACACTTGATACTTACTAGCTATGTGACTCTGGACAAGTCACTTAACTCCAATTGCCTAAAAAAAAAAAAAGAATCTTATTCCAAGAAGAGGCCCATGGGTTTCACCCAACTGCCAAGGGGCCCAAAGAAGAACTCCTGGCATAAGTGGTGAATTCTGTTCCATGAATTTCTATCAGATGAGCACCAGAAGAACCCACAATGATCAGTGACGAAGCTTTCAATTCAGGGCCAACGTGGTACAGCATCACTGACTTCTCAGGAGCGAGAAGGCCCTTGGCAAGTCGAGTTACTGAGAGTTAGATAGGATCTTGCAGGCCATTTAGTCCTACCCCCCTCAATTTATCTGTGAGATCATAAGATGGCCGGCTCATCAGTTTAGATCTGGAGAAGGCCATTTGGGCGCAACCCTCTCCCTTACCAGAAAAGGAAAGGGAGGTTTTTAGGTGACTTGCCCAAAGATCGTGTGGGTGGTGACAAAATCAGAATTTGCATTCAGGTCCTCTGAGTAAAGTTCCCAGGCTCCTTCTACTGTGCCACATGGACTGTAAGTCTCCTCGTATAAGGAAGGGCCCAAGATGGCGGACCCTCCACCTCTGTTAATAATGACAATAATAACAAGAACCATAATAGACTTATACATAATGCTTTAAAGCTAATGTTCTTAACTTGTTTTGGTCATGCTCCCCCTTTGCCATCCCACTCCACCCTTTGGCACCATGGTGAATCCCTATGGACTTCTTCCCAGCAAAATACACAGGACTACAAAGGAAATGAATTAGAGTGAAAGGCAATTATCCAAAAGAAAAATTTAAGTTCATGGCTCCCCTCCCTAGGTTAGGGCTCCCCCATCCCTTTAAAGGTTATAAAGCACTTTACTTCTATGGGGTACAGTTGAGCTTCACAACAATGCTATAAGGAAGCAATAAAGATTTTATGATCACGAGTTTATGGATGAGGAAAAGGAGGCCCAGGGCTTCCGTGACAAGGCATCACACAGTGAGAAAGAGTAAAGGGTGGGAGCTGTGTCTGGTCTTCCTGACTCCAAGTCCCAGCCCCCAGGCCCCTCTGGTGCCCAGTGATGAGGTTGATGCACATGTATAATGTGTTTAAATATGCCTGGCTGCGGAAAAACGTAAATGAAGGTCTGGAAAGGTCTCTCTTTTTCTAGAGCTCTCTATAATCAAACTGTCCATCTCAGAAAGTAAAGTTCAGTTAAGCTTAAGTCTTCGTCCCCTCGATCTCAATGAGGCTTTATCAGCAGGTGCCCATGAGGGCGCGAGCCTGGGCACCTGTGCCTGACCTTGCCTCACCTGGAAGGAATCGCTGTCAGTTCTCAGGCGTTCAGTCTCCTTGTCTATAAAATGAGTGGGTTGGACCAGGAAAGCTCTCAGCTCCTTCCAGCACTACACTTGTGATACTACACCTTCCTCCTCCCCATGGCCAGCATCAGAGTGACCGTGCATGGGGGAGAGGGCAGGTGAGCAGAGACAAAGGTCTTAAGGAGCTGTGATTTGGTGGGGTCTATTCCTTCAGCAAAACCTCCTTAAAAGTGAGATTTCTTTTCCTGAAATCAGGACTATCTTGGATACATTCATGGGGGCCGCAGGCCCTCTACCGGCATTCCCTACAGCCTCCTAACTCACCAGATGGCATGCTAAGAATGACTGGTACTTAAATAATGCCCTAAGGTTCACGAAGCCCTTTACACATTATTTCACTGAAGCCTCCCAGATACCCTTTGAGAGAGGTACTGAAGGTATCTATTAACCCCATTTTACAGATGAGAAAATAATAACAGCTGGTATTTATATAGCGCTATTAGAGACACATATGAAGGCCCCTCATATGACGCTGCCTTTTAAAATGTTCAATCAAATCTTCACTGATTTAGAATAACTGCAAGGGAGCCTCCTCTAAATTAGAAGATATTTCAAATTGACTATAACTTAGAATTTTTATACCCCAGGCAACCACCTCAAACCACCCCAGGGTAGTTGTCATGAAATGAACTCTAGATTTTGGAAGGCAGGCATCCTCCTATGGAAGGGAAAGGGAAACCCTAGGATGTAAGCTTCTGACTGGGATGTGAAATGTTTGAGGCTGTGTTGGGAGCCCAGGGCCAAAGCTCATCCTAGTTCAGTGGAGAGTAAGCCAGAGGCCCATAGATCTACCCACTTCTTTTCTTTTCTTTTTTTTTTTAATATAAATTTATTAATTTTAGTCTTCAACATTCACTTCCACAAGTTTTTGAATTCCAAATTTTCACCCCATCTCACCCCTCCCCCCACCCCAAGATGGCATGTATTCTGAATATCCCTTCCCCTAGTCTGCCCTCTCTTCTAACTCTCTCCCCTTCTCTTATTCCCTTCCCCTTCTATTTTCCTGTAGGGCAGGATAGACTTCTGTACCCCATTTCCTGTATTTCTTATTTCCCAGTAGCATGTGAAAACATTTTTTTAAACATATATTTTTAAAACTTTAGGTTTCAAATTTTCTCTCTTCCTCCCTCTGCACCCACGCTCATTGAAAAGGCAAGCAACTCAATATAGGTTATACATGTGCAGTTATGCAAAATATGTCCATAGTAGACATGTTGTGAAAAACTAACTCTATTTCCCTTAATCCTATCCTGCCCTCCCATTTATTCTATTCTTTCTTTTGACCCTGTCCCTCCTCAGAAGTTTACTTCTGATTACCCCTTTCCCAATCTGCCCTCCTCTCTATCATCCCCCTGCTCTCTTGTCCCCTTCTCCCCCTATTTTCCTGTAGGGTAAGACAGATTTCCATACCCAATTGAATGTGTATGTTATTCCCTCCTTAAGCCAAATCCTATGAGAATAAGATTCACTCATTCCCTCTCACCTTCCCCGTTTCCCCTCCACTGTAAGAGATTTTCTTTTCTGTTTTTTTTTGTGAGATAATTTACCCCATTCTACCTCTCCCTTTCTTCTTCTCTGAGTATAATCCTCTCTCATCCCTTAATTTTATTCTCCAGATATGACCCCTTAATCTTCAACTCACCCTGTGCCCTCTATCTATCTATCTACATATACATACATAATTTTTTCCTCCAACTACCCTAATACTGACAAAGGTCTCATGAGTTATAAATATCATCTTTCCATGCAGGAATGTAAACAGTTCAATCTTAATAAGTCTCTTATGATTTCTCTTTCCTGTTTACCTCTTCATGTTCCACTGAGTCCTGTATTTGAAAGTCAAATTTTCTATTCAGCTCTGGTCTTTTCATCAAGAATGCTTGAAAGTCCTCTATTTCACTGAATGACCATTTTTTCCCCTGAAGGATTATACTCAGTTTTGCTGGGTAGGTGATTCTTGGTTGTAATCCTATCTCCTTTGCCCTCCGGAAATTATATTCCATGCCCTGGTCCTTTAATGTAGAAGCTGCTAAATCTTGTGTTATCCTGATTGTGTTTCCACAGTACTTGAATTGTTTCCTTCTGGCAGCTTGTAATATTTTCTCCTTGACCTGGGAACTCTGGAATTTGGCTAATATTCCTAGGAGTTTTCCTTTGGGGATCTCTTTCAGGAGGAGATCTGTGGATTCTTTCAATTTCTATTTTGCCCTCTGGTTCTAAATATCAGGGCAGTTTTCCTTGATAATTTCTTGAAAGATGATGTCTAGACTCTTTTTTTGATCATGGCTTTCAGATAGTCCAATAATTTTTAAATTCTCTCTCCTGGATCTATTTTCCAGGTCAGTTGTTTTTCCAATGAGATATTTCACATTGTTTTCTAATTTTTCATTCTTTTGGATTTGTTCTACTGTGTTTGATTTCTCATAAAGTCACTATCTTCCAATTGCTCTATTCTAATTTTTAAGGAAGTATTTTCTTCAGTAAGCTTTTGGACTTCCTTTTCCATTTGGCCAATTTTCTTTTTAGGGCATTTTCTCCTCATTGGCTTTTTGGACCTCTTTTGCCATTTGGGTTAGGCTATTTTTTAAGGTGTTATTTTCTTCAGTATTTTTTTGGGTCTCCTTTAGCAAGCTGTTGACTTGTTTTTCATGATTTTCTTGCATCACTCTCAGTTTTTCCTCTACTTCCCTTATTTGCTTCTCAAAATCCCTTTTGAGCTCTTCCAAGGCCTGGGACTGATTCATATTTTTCTTGGAGGCTTTGGATGTAGGAGCTTTGACTTTGTTGTCTTCTTCTGGTTGTATATTTTGATCTTCTTTTTCACCAAAGTAAGATAATATAGTCTGACTCTTTTTGCACTGCTTGCTCATGATCCCGGCCAATTACTTGAGTTTTAAACTCTTTGTTAAGGTAGGAATCTGCTTCCAATGTGGAGAATGTACTGTCCCAAGCTTCAGGGGTTTGTATAGCTGTTTTCAGAGATACTTGTAGGGACCTGTAAATTTTCAGTTCTTCCAAGGTGGTATGATAAGGGACGAGGTGCTTACTCCTTTCCTGGCCCGTGACCACAAGTGCTCCTTTCTGTCCTGTAACTGTGAGGAGATGTTCCTCTTCACAGCACTACAAGCTCCACCAGCCACGCTCCTCCTCACCCCAGCACCGCTGCCCAGAACTGTGCCCAGATCCAAACATGGCAAAGCAAGAGATTCCTGCCTCAGCACTGGCAAAGAGATCCCTGCAATCCCTCTCTGATCAGCCAGTGGATTACCCCTCAGTCTGTGGGCCAGAAGCTTGGGAAGCAGCTGCCCCCCCCTCCGGGCCACGCTCTTGGGGAATGGAGCTGAAACCCTGCCTTCTTTTCTCAGCACAGACAGAAACACTTTTCCCACTGACCTTCTAAGTTGTCTTTGGCATTCCTGGGTTGAGAAGTCTGGAAGTCACCACAGCTGCCTGAGATTCAGTCCTCTGAGGCCTGTTCCAGGTTCATTGTGGCCTGCACACCCACACCGTGCTGCGTTGTGCTCCCAGCCTGGCACGATACACCTTTCTTATCAATCATCCAGGTTGTCTTGGGCTGGAAATTTGTTTCACTCTGTCTTTTTGTGGGTTCTGCTGCTTCAGAATTTGTTTAGAGCCATTTTTTACGAGTATTTGGAGGGGTTTGGGGGAGAGCTTAAGCAAGTCACTGCTTTCACTCTGCCATCTTGGCTCTGCCTCCCTCAATTAACCTTTAATCCTCAGTTTCCTCATTTGTAAAATGGGCATAATAATGGGGCCTATTTAATAGGATTGTTGTGAGAATCAAATGAGATACCATGTAAAAAGTTCTTTGCAAACCTTAAAGTTCTCTCTCTATGCTAGCAGTTATTATCATTATTATTTACCAGCTATTAGTATTATTGCAAAGCTCAGAATATAGAACAGCTTGTTTTTTCAGCACTTGAAAGCTTGAAGCATAAGTATATATAGTGCACTCTGTACTTTACTTTCCCAGGAGGTTTTTCTTAATCTATTTCCTCATCTTCTCTCTAACGCTTCCTCATCACTGCCTCCTGCCTTCCCTGTCCTCCAGGACTCAACTGAAATCCCACTTTGTACGGGAGACCTTTCCTGGAGCCTTTCCCTCTGAGGTTATTTTGTAACCAATCTACATACCTTTATATAGCTATTTCTGTGTCAGTCATCTCCTCCGTTAGAATGCAAACTCTTTGAGGCCAGGATGCTTTCATTTTCATCTTCGTGCTCAGCACTATTCCTAGCACACAGACAGCACTTCATAACCACTTGTTAATTGATGCTTGACATGACTTCAGGAATAGCTAGCTAGTCTCACCCGTGCCTGAACAAGAATCCCTTCTATCACGTACCCAGCAAGGGGTCACCCAGTCAGTCTGTGCTTGTGCTTCAAAGACCCGGCAAGGAGGGAGACCCCTTCTCTCTCCCGCAGCTCATTCTGCCTTTGGACGGCTATTTGGCGGGAAGCTTTTCCTAAGCCTGAATCTGCCTGTTCCTCAATTTCAGGTCAAAGAACTGGAAACCACTTCGACGTCAATGCAACATATACAGTACAATCTGGAACCCAGCACCAAGTATGCGTTTCAAGCCCGATGTAGACAGCCTGGGAGGAGGTACAGGCAGGAGTGGAGCATGCCCTTTTTCCACACAACCCCAGAAGCAGGTGAGCTCTTCAGGAGGTTTGATTCAGCTCCTCCTTCACCTTTACGTCCGCCTTTGTTTTCTCTAGGAGGACCAATCACACGGTGAGTTTTCCACTCCTCACTCTCTAGTTGGTAATCATTGCCAAAGATATTTTCAAGATTCCCAACATGCCACAGGAGATAGAGCCTTGGGCTTGGGATCAAGTTAGTCTGGGGCTTGGAATCCCATGTAAGATACTGAACTGTCATTTGACCCTAGACAAGTCACTTAATCTCTCTTGGCCTCAGTTTCGTCATCTGCAAAATGGAGATAAATTTTACAGCATTGTGGTGAGGATCAAGTTAGATGACATAGATTTTATAAACTGACTATATAAATATTACACAGATCTGAAGGTAGACATGCTCTTAACGGCCATCTAGTCTCGTGTCTTCATTTTACAGATGAGGAAACTGAGGCCAGGGAAATTAAGTGGCCTGCCCAAGGTTCCATAGGTGGTAAACATTAGAGGCAGGTTTTGAACCCACATTCTCTGACTCTACTGTACTATGCTCTCTATCTGTTATTAATATTTTCCCCATCTTTTGAAAATTAAAAAAAAATCCTGCTATTTCACATGACAATAGTTATATTTTTAGTAAAACAGTAGAATCATAGCTTTAGAGGTAGAAGGGGCTTAGGAAAAACCAGCTAGTGTAACTCCCTTATTTTATAGTAGAGGAAAGGAAGGTGGGGGGAGGTTAAGTGATATTCCCCAGGTCACATAGATCGTAAGTGAAAGAAATGGCATTTGAACTCATGTCCCTTAACTCCCAGACTAGCTCTTTTATTGAGCAAGACAATACATGATGGCCCAAAGCTCCTATGAAATCAGTAATGCTTTACGTGAATTTGTGTTTTACCGATCACAACAGCATTGCCACGGATTTGAAAAAACCCAACAACAAGACTTACTATCTATTTCATCCACAGCATACATGTTCAGTTATTTATTACAATGAGTCATTCTGCCCAACTTTGGAGCAAAAAAAGATTATGCTGACACTGCTTAGCTCACTTAAAGATTCCTGGATCCCTTGGAATAGATGGATATAATTGTACATTGTTATAACCTCAGTTTCCTTTTTTGTAAAATGAGGGAGATTGATGACCTCTAATTAGACCTTCTCAGCTCTAATGTTCTGTAATTCTGCTCTAACCTAAGAACCTCAGGCTTTTGAAAGAAGACAAGGATGAGTTGAAATGTCTTGAGCGACATCTGCTGCCCACATCTTAGAAAGGCAGTCTTGAAGACAAAATGTAGTGTCTGGCTGTTTTATCTAGTGTTAAATCATCATCTCACTCACCTTTCGATCTTCTTTCATATAAACCGACAGTCACACCCTGGTCCAGTCACATTCTGTTCTATTTACATTGGTCCGCTAGCAGTGCACCATCCGTGACATGGCATTTCCCACCTCCCTGACTTTGGACCAAGCGTCCCTCCTCCATGCTTGGAATATGTTCCCTCCTCACCTCTGTCTCCCAGAGCCCCTTGATTCCATCAAAGGACAGCCCAACTGGCACCTCTTACTTGAGCCCTTTCCTGTTCCCCTTCAATTATTAATATTCTCTCCCTTTGGAAATTATTTTAAAATTTGCATTTTCTTATCTCTTTATGTTGTATCAATCAGTGGAATGCAAGCTCTTTGAGGGCAAACTGTTTTGTTTATGTCTTTGTGTCTATACCAACCAGCACAGTGATTTACACACATTAGATGTTTAAAGAACATTTGTTGAATTCAATTTTCCTTTACTTACAGACTCAATGTTTCTTGGCCCATTCTAGTCTTGAGGTCCTAAACCTCAAGAATGGAAAAGCTAACTTGGAATGGCCATTCTTTAGGCCAGTGAGAGCCACGCTTTTTTTTGACCTAATCCAAAAAATGTTTGCATTCACCTCCAATCTATGTATGTTTACCTACAAATTATATGTGTACTATTTTCCTCACACAGTTTCTTGTGTATATTATAAAACATACACAATATATACATTTAAAGGGGGGATATACAGATAAAAATAATACTTTAAATTTTTATTGATTAATGGCACAAAAATGGCATGATGTAATTGAATAGATATTGTTTTTGAAAAATCTCATGTACATCCTGAGGGACAGGCTGGATACGGAAAGAGTCAAATAAATAATAACATAACATAACATAAACTGTTATAACATAATGTTATGTATAACACATTAATAAATTAACAATTATTCCATCAATTTGATGATGGTGTGCAGAGGGTCTGGAACTTAGGGACATATGTGTTGGCTTGGCTTGGCTCGACTGGATCCGTCTAGCTAACCCAGAGAGGAGAATCTCTCTCTCTCTCTCTCCTCTCTCTCTCTCTCTGTCTCTCTCTCTCTCTCTCTCTCTCTCTCTCTCTCTCTCTCTCTCTCTCTCTCTCTCTCTCTCTCCCTCTCTCTCTCTCTCTCTCTCTCAACATTTTAGATATGTTTAATGTTGAAGAATACCCAGTATTCAATTTATAGTTCATAAATCAGTGACCATCACAGCCTTTCGGGTTTTCTCTGTGTGTGAATATCCCAACAATGTACTGCAAAAACAGCAAGCAAAGTCTCTGATTGCAACTCAGCCAATGTTGTCAGGATAAATCAATCCATGCCTCATTCTGTACATGGTTCTGAATCATTGGACCTTAATTTCCTTTCTGATGTTCAGCTATGTTAGCTCTATTTCTTTATGATCCCAGCATTGCATGTCTGGAGCTGGGAAAGACCTTTGAGGTCAGCTAGCCTACCCCTTGCATTTTACAGATAAGAAAAGGAAGAGGCTCCCTCGAGGGCAGTCAGCCATGGGGCAGAGCCAGCCAGGCATTCAAATCCAGTGGGGCTGACTTCAAACCCAGCATCCTCTCCACGTAGCAGGCTAACTCCTGAGGGTGAGGAGCAGTAAGCGGAGCACTTTGGCTGGACCTTGGAGTGCAGGGAGGGAAACAGGTGACAAAAAGAGGAATTTATATTGGTCCTTGAGGAAAGAGGGGGTGCAGGGCCGAAGAAGAAGGCGCTGCTCCTGAAGGCGTGAGAGAACAGGTACCGCTGGGAAACCGCATCACTGGGTACCCCTCCCCCTACTGTCCCCAGTTCCATGGGCAAGCTGGTGACTCAGACATACAACACAGATTACATGCCCTCCCACCCAAGCCCCAAAGCCACTCGCGTGGGCCTCAAACTTATCACAGTTTTAGACAAAGAGTTAATGCAGTTTACTAAGGCACAACTCATTTATAAAGAAACTCTGGCAAAGAAATGGGAAAGTCTGCTGGCATAATTGAATTGGCTGATCTCTCATTTAGGAACATTTTTTCCCTTTTGTTGTTGATGTCCTTTTTTTTTTTTTTAATAACATTCAATTCCAAACATATCCTCCCAACTCACCCAGAAAGCCTTCCCTTTTTTTTATAAAAAAAAAAAACCCACTTTTCTTAGGCAGTTGGGGTTAAGTGACTTGCCCAGGGTCACACAGTTAGTAAGTGTCAAGTGTTTGGTCTGAATGCAGATTCGAACTCAGGTCCTCCTGACTCCAGGGCCGGTGCTGGTGCTCTGTCCACTGGACCACCTAGCTGCCCCCAAGCCTTGCCTTTTAATAAGGATTTAAAATAAAAACACACACAGTTCAGTAAATCCAATCAACACATTAGACAATGTAGGCAACATTCTGCACACCTAGGCCCCCACCTCTTCAGTTCTTACCCTTTTTTTGGTAGTTCAGTGGAACCCATGGACCCCTTGTCAGAATAATGCCTTTAAATACATAAATAAAATATAGGACCACAAAGTAAGCCAATTATGCTGAAATCATTATCAAAAATATTTTTAAAAAAGTTTACAGCCCCCAGTTAAAAAATTCCTGTTATACTATATATTCCCCCTTCCACTATCAAATGCTACTCTTAAGAACTTACAACTTCATTCCTGCTAAGATGTGAATGACGAAGAACTCCAAACCTCAAAAAACTTTTATTAAGCATCGCCTACATGTGAGTCACCGTGCCGTGCGTGCAAAGAAAAATTCGGAACAGTTCTTGACTCAGAGAGCTGGCATTTGTCCCACTGAGGAATGATATAACACACCCATGGTACAGGGGAAAGGGCACAGAACCTAGAGAGCTTGTTCCTGTGCAGTCTTGAGCAAATCACTCCCTCCTCTCTGGGCTTCTAGAGATCTCTAACGTCCTATCTGGCTCTAAATTTGCAAATAAATACAAGGTAACTCCTGGAAGGAGAAAGTAACCCCTTCGGGGGTAGAGGAGGCTTAGCCGAGGGGGTGTCTCTGGAGCCGGGCTTTGAAAGAAGATAAGGATTCTGGAAGGTGATGATAGGGAAGGAGTTCGGTCCAGGTGGGGGAATCTGCCCAGAGATGAAATGTGGAGCGTGGGAAACACCGCGAGCCCAGCTTGGCTAGAACGTTGAGTTCCAGGGCAGTAAGAGCTGACATTTAGAAAGCCCTTTAAGATTTGCTATGAGTTTCACAGGGTGTTTCACTGGATCCCTGCAACCAGCCCCTTGGGTTGGAAGGAACAGCAAGCCACATTTTATAGATGAGGAGATTGAGATTCCCAAAGGTGAAGTGACTCACCCAGGGCAACGCAGCTAGCGAGAATCAGGTGGGAGTGAGCTTGGATTTTTTGTTTTTCATTCCAAATCTAGAATGCTCTACCCATTAGGCAACACTGCTTCAGTAAGGAAGAAGAGTGCCGTTAAAGTCGGAAAGGTGGGTTGGAGTTACGCGGTGGACGACTGTAAATGCCAGGCTGAGAAGTTTGTGCTTTATCCTGCAGGCAACGTGGAGCCACTGAAGAATTTTAAATAGGGTAGTGCGGTGGCCAGCTCTCCATGCATTAAGGCATAATGTGGCCCTTTAAAGCGACTGAATCCGTGGATAGATTCCAGGGAGTCTGTGAACTTGGATGGGGAAAAAAAAAAATACGTGCTCGTTTTCATTAACCTACAACTGAAATTTAGCATGCCCTTCAGCTATGAATGTAGGCAGCAAGACACAATTGTGAGATGGAAGTCTGTAGACTTCACCAGACTAGCAGTGGGGTCCATGACACAGAAAAGGCTGAGAACCGCTACTTTAAGGAGTATTTGCATTTTAATAGGAGACTAAGTCTGAAACAAAAAAAAAAATTGAATCTCTAATTGTATATTTTTAGGCATTGGTGAACTCATGGGGTATTTGGGAGGCAGGGTCCTCTTTACAGCTGTTCCTGAAATAATACAAAATATGAGATATTAGAAACATTCATAATCAGGTTACCTGCCCCCCCCCCAGTTTTATTTTTTCTTTTCTCAAATGTTGATTTTTTTTCTATTCTAACATCATTTCCCCTTTGACGTCACATACCGTTTCTCTCTCCCACCCTGCAATCCTAGCTTGTAACAAATAGGTACAACCAAGCAAGAAAAAATCTGTACAGTGACCGTATATGAACATGTGTGCCACATTCCGTCCCTGTAGTGCACCGTCTGTCCACCAAGAGGCATCCCCAGATACACTGATGGCTCACTGCATTGGGCAGGGTTCCTGAGCCTTTCAGCATGATTTTCCTTTACATTATTTTGGTCTATATGTAAATTGTTCTCCCAGTTTTGATTACTTCACTCTATATATCCATTCATACAAGCAATTCTCAAATTTCTCTGTATCCTTCATATCAGTTATTTCTAATAATTCAATAACATTTTTAGTACATTCATATTTCAAAATTTGTACATCCCTAATCAATGGGAGGCCACTTTCCTTCCATTTCTTTGCTACTAAGAAAAATGCTACACTAAGTATTTTTGCATAGAAAGAGAACAGACATTTAATAAACACCCACTATGGCAGGTGTGACCCTGGGCAAGTCATTTAACCTTGTTTGCCTCAGTTTCCTCATCTGTAAAATGAACTAAAAACAGAAATGGCAGACCACCCCAGAAAATCCCAAATGGGGTCACAGAGAGTCAGGCACGACTGAAGCCACCGAACAGCAACATCCCTAGTACTGTGCTTAGTGCTTGACAGATATTACCTCATTTCACCTTCACGACACCTCTGAGAGGTAGGCTTTATTATCAGCCCCATTACATATGGGGAAGCTGAGGCAGATATTAAGGAATTTGCTAGGGTCCCAAAGCCATTAAGTGCATGAAGCTGGAGACCTCGGATCTTCTTGACTTGAGGGTCCAGCATTCCATCCACGGAGCCATCTTGTTGCTGTATATATGGGACCTCTCCTGACTTTTCCCTCCTTGCAATCTATACCTTATTGTAGCAACGTTGGGTCAAAGCCCATCTGCAATTTATAACTTTTTTAGTATAATTATAAATTGTTTCCCAGTGTGGGTAGACCATTCAGTAGATCTACCAACCTTGCGTTCATGTATTTGTCTTTCCACATCCCCTCTAGCCTCCGCGGTTCTCATCTTTGCCGATCTGATGGGTGAGGTGTGAAACCTCAGAGTTGTTTTCATCTGAATTTCTCTCATTATTAATGATCTGGACATTTTTCCAGATGGTTGACCACTTGCAGGTTTTCATTTGAAAGCTAACTATTCACCAGAATTCCTGAAGTCTTTCAAAGTTGTTTGTCTTGAGAGTGCTGTTCTCATTGTATAAATTGTTGTCCTGGTTCTGCCCATTTCATTCTTCATCAGTTTACAAAAGTCCTCAAAATTATTTTTATCATATCGATGTTACATACTATTCTCCTGGTTTTGTTCCATATCTGCTGATATCCTGCTTCACTCCAGATCAGCTCACAGAAGTCTCTTCATGTCTCTGGGAATTCACCTATTCCTTCATTTCTTACATCCCAACAGGATTCTGTCACATTTACGTATCACAATTTATTCAGCAATTCCTCAGTTGGTGGGTATCGCCTTATTTTCCAGGGTTTTTGCCACCACAAAAAACCCAAAACAAAACCTGCTATCAATATTTTCATACAGCTAAGACTTTTTCCTCTTTAAAAATCAATCTGTTTTGGTTATAGTCCTAGCAGTGCCATAACTGGGTCATTGAGTCTCACTGTCTAATCACTTTTTGCATAATTCCACGTCTTTTTTTCAGAATAGCTGTGCCCATTCACAGATCCACCAACAGTACATTAATGTGCCTGTTTTCTCACAGCCCCTCTGACATTTGTCATTTTCCTTTTTTGTCTTCTTTGCAACTCTCATATATATATTTTTGTATATAGCAAATGTGTTTGTTAATTAGGGATGTACAAATTTTGAAACATGAATGTACTAAAATGTTTGAGGGGTAGAAGGGAGAGAAAATAAATTACTGTTAACTTTTTAAAAAGAGAGATGGAGGTGGTCCTAGAGATGTAGAATGTTGCAGATGAGGTCACCGTATTATTAGTTTCATGTAATTGTTTTATTTTATTACAAGATATATCTCACAAAGTAGAAATAATCTATACATATTTATAACGTAAAAACAAAACACATCAATGAAAATTTTCAAAAGGAAAAAAAGAAAACTAACCATTCATGTTTTTTGTATGGGAAGTATATTTTCTCTTAATGTTTTTTTCTGTTTTTCTTCTTCTAGATTGTCCTTTATTTCTGTATATTTGCATTCCCATCTGTTGTTCTTTATCTAGTTTCTTTGGCAAGACTTGCCATCAGAGATTCCAGTTTTTCTATTCTGCTCATGATTTTTGTTATGCAGGCCATATATTTTGCTCTCATAATTCTCATTTCTCTTCTGAATTGCTCAGGAACAATGTGTTGTGATTTCATCTTCTCTTCAATCCCACAGGGTCCTCTTCTTATTAAATATTCCTTTGCTTTGCAATATTTATTCATAGATGCCTGAACTTGTTTACTAGATGTGGAGGCCAGATTTCTGCTGTTGTCAATGTTTAACCTGCTGGTTTATCTGTTTCTGTTCAAGGTCTTTGAATTTTCTTCTTCGTGAGATCTTTGGTAATTTCAATCCTCCCACCCCCCCCCACCCCTCTGATCTTTCCCCATTCACACTCTGACTCTATCCTTGGAAGTCAGTTTCCTTGGTTCTCTAAATATCTCAGTTTCTTATCACACTGGACAATTCATGGGTTAGCAAGTCTAGGTCTCTGCCTCAAGTGACTTATGATTGGTCAGAACTAGAACCAGATAGATGCTGTGCCCTTTCCCTAAGTCTTGGTGGAGAGCCATACAGCTCCTGCTTCCCCAACGCCCACACATACTCAGTGCCCTGTTCTGTTTCCTCTATCCTTTACTTCTCTGGCCTAGCCCCAACAATTCAAAGTTTTGCAGCACTCGTGCTACTGGGTTGTGGTCCCTGGCAGGTTTTTGCTTCTGAAAGGCTATAGCAGTGCTGGCTGGCTGTCATGGCCCTGGCGAACTGCTATGGCCTGGAGACAGGGTTCTCTGTAGCACTGGAAAGGGGAGGAGGGTGTCAGGGTAGGGAAGCAGGTTTTGTTGTAAGTCTGTGCTGGATCCTTGGGTCTGCTAGTGTATTCTTATAACTGGTAGCATGGGAGGTAGAGGAGGGATGTTGAGTGAGCTCAGGCTCTGGAAATGTCAGTTCATTGGGTGTTTGTTTTTTATTTTTTTTACCTCCTTTTAGATTCTGGGTGTTCTAGACCATCAAGACGGCTGACATTGTTTTATCTTTGGTGCATAATTTCTGTTTTAGAGAGGTTTGAGAGGAGATCGAACCTTCTATTCTCCTTTAATTTTTGTAGGTGATGTGGCATTTTATATTTAAAATTTATACCTATCTGGGGGCAGCTAGGTGGTGCAGTGGATAGAGCACCGGCCCTGAAGTCAGGAGGACCTGAGTTCAAATCTGGCCTCAGACCAAACACTTGACACTTACTAGCTGTGAGACCCTGGGCAAGTCACTTAACCCCAATTGTCTAAAAAAAATGTATGTGTATATATATATCTCACACATCTATCTGGAGATCATTGTGGTATAAGGTGTAAGATGTTGGCCTCATTTCTTTTAAACTGCTTTACAATTTTCACAGACATTTTTGTCACATAGTGAGCCTTCACTCTAGTAGTTGGTATCCTTGGATTTATCAACCACTAGGGCTTCAATATGCAATTACTTTGAGTCTTACTTCATTTATTCCATTCTTCAATTTATTTTTTTAAACCAATACCAAACAGTTTTAATTATTGCTCATTTGTAGTACAATTTGATGTCTGGTAATGTTAGTTCCTTTATTCCTACTTTAATTTGTTATTTCTGTTGAGATTATTGACCTTCTGTTCCTTTAGATTAATTTTTATTAGTTTGTCTAGTTTGATAAATTAACCCCTTGGCAGTTTCATTGGAAAGACACTAAATCTATGAATTAATTTTATAATGTTGTCATTTTAATCATATTGAAGTGGACCAACTATGAACGATGAATATCCTTCCAATTATTTATCTTCCTTTATTTTTCTAAATAGTGTTTTAGTGATATTCATTTATATGCTGAGAGTGTCTTGGTAGGATGGCTCCCAGATATTTTGAAGCTATTTTGATTTTTTTTGGTTTTACTTTTTTTTTTTTTGCAATTGGGGTTAAGTGACTTGCCCAGGGTCTCACAGCTAGTAAGTGTCAAGTGTTTGGTCTGAGGCTGGATTTGAACTCAGGTACTCCTGACTTCAGGGCCGGTGCTCTATCCACTTCATCATCTAGCTGCCCCTTGAAGTTATTTTGAAAGAAATGTCTATTTTTCTATCATTTCATGCTGAATTTTGCAAGTAAAAAACAGAAAAGCTGATGATTTTTCTGCATTTATTTTATAATCTACTTCTTTAATGAAACTGCTGGGGTTTTTTCATAATTGAAAAGAGGTAATTTTGCCTCCTCTTTGCCTATGTTTATTCCAGTTTTTTTCTTTGTCTTGTTACAAAACTAATATTTCTAGAACCATGTTGAATACTAGTGGTGACAATGGACATCCTTGCTTTACACTGCTCTTATTAGAAAGCCCTCTAGTTTTTCCCCCATTTACACATCATTCCAAATCTCATTTTTAAAACTGATATTGCTTATCCTATTAAGTAAAGGCAGTTAGATAGATACAGTGTTACACCTGGAGTTAGGAAGACTTAACACATTCTAATACTGCCTCAAGTACTTAGCTGTGTGACCCTGGGTAAGTCACTTACTTTCCTCATCTGTAACATGGGGATAGTAAGAACATCTATCTCTCATGGTTAGCATAAGGATAAAAGGAAATGATATATGGAGAAATGTAATAGCAAGCAGATGAGTTAGAGGCAATTTGATAAGTAGTAGAACATGAACTGGTTTCTGGAGTTGGAGGGACTGGGCTCACATCTTGACTCTGATACTTACAAATTGTCATCAACCTCCCAGCCCTCGGCTTCCTCCTGTGTAAAATAAAAGAAGAAGGACTAGAGGATCTCCAAGGCTCGTATGAGTTCTAAATCTGTTATCCTGATATAGTTTGTCATCATAGAAAGACAAATGCAAACTTAAGTGTTGAAGGAATCGTAATTTAGCAGTTCTGACACTGGCAGAGAAAGTTTAGTCTCCTCCGAGATGTAGATTTCACTGCGCTAATGGAGGAAGTACTTAGGGATTATTATCCCTTCAGTGAGGAGGCAGAGGCTGGGAAGGAAGGGGCTGGCAAATTTACAGTAACTAATTAAGTTGCCTGTTTCCCAGGTGCAGGTTTTGTTGCTACTTGCAGTGCAAAGGTTCCCAGAGACAGTGTTTTAATGATGGTTCAGTCGGCAGGGATATTTTTTTTTGGCCATGTTGGCTTTTTTTTTTTTTCCTTTCTCCCAACCCGTCTCAAGATCAGGACATGTAAGAGCAAAGAGAGTAGACTGCATTTTCTGGTCTCACAAAACCTCACGATCTCACTAAGCCTTCTGTGCCCTGCCCAGCCGTAGCTGAGAAAGTCCTGACTTTCGAGTCAGAAAGCCCTAGGTTCAAATGCTGCCTCTCTGGTCCTTGTCTACTGTGTAACCAGGGGCAAGTCATTTCACCTTTAGGAGCCTCAGTTTAACTATCTGGAAAAACGGGGGAATCCTACCCAGAGCTGTTGTTCAGTCGTGTTTCAGTCGTGCCCGACTCTCTGTGACCGCATTCGGGGTTTTCTTGGCAAAGACGCTGGAGCGGTTTGCCATTTGCTGCTCCAGCTCACACCCGACCCACCTCCCGTGCTTGTTGGCTCGAATGAAGTAACGTCTGTTAATGGCTTGGCCAAGTTTAAAGGGCTGCTTGAATGTCAGTTATTTCTTAAATGCTTCTTTCACAAACTGCTTCAGCTTCCAGTAAGTGCCTGAAATCTTTGTGTTCTACTGGTCCTCCTATCACATGGATCACAAATGAGCTCGAAGTCAGTCTTGGAGATGACCACAGCTCCGAAAAGTGAAGGCGCATGCCCAGGGTCACGCACTAATTAAGAAGCATCTACTGCAGACCGTTCCAGCTTAGTGTACTCCCCATCCCCCCCCAAATGCTGTCAGGGAGATTCTAATTCATGCATAAACTCCTCTAGAGCTACGTGAGGCACTTTTATGAAAAATAGCGCGTATTTCAGATCTAGCCCATCTTAGCAGTAACAGGAAAGGGGGTTTTGTTGTTATTATTACCCAATTGTTGTTTTGCCAAATACATAGTGTTCTCTTTCACTATGGGCACAAAAAACATCTTTGCTAAAAAATTAAAAAGTACTAAAAATTCATTAAACAATTCAATGAGTCAATAATAGAAATAATAATAAAGCACCTAGCACGCGCCAGGAAGGTGTTCTGGGTGCCGAGGATACGAAGACAAAAACGAAAGTCTCGGCCCTCAAGGAGCTTACTTTCTATTGGGGGAGACAGTAACAAGTACATAGACGTTGTTGTAGTTGTTTGCCCTTCTCAAAGAGGCCCAGGGACGTCCCAAGGTGATGTCTTGACTTGCCCATGAGCTGGATTGAAGTGAGGCAGAGCAGCCTGAGTCGTCAGCCTCAAGCTCTCCTTCACAGGGTCAACTGAGGCCACATATGCATGTAGGCAGTATACAAAGCCAGTATTGGGGATGGGGAAGCTCTACCACTGGGGAGATCCTGGAAGGCTTCATGGAGAAGGTGGCATTTGGCTTAAATCTTTTTTAAACAAGCATTTACATAGGGCTTTTAACATGTGCAAAGCCCTTTACATATATAAAAACAATGACAATACGAATTAGCGTTTTAATAGTGCCTACTGTGTGCCTAGGCACTGTGCTAAGCACTTTACAATTATTATCTCATTTGATCCTTACAATAACCCTGTAAAGTAAGTACTAATATTATTCCCATTTTACAGATGAACTGAGGCAGGCAGTGATTAAGTGACTTGCCCAGGGTCACACAGCTAGTAGGTTGTCTGAGCTGGGATTTAAGCTTGGATCTTACTGACTTTAGGCTTAGCACTCTATCCACTGGATCACCTAGCTGCTTTTGCTGGAATTAAGTCTTGAAGGAGATTCAACTTTCTAAGAGGCAGAGGTGAGGAAAGGGTACTTTCCAGGCATGGAAGCCAGCCAAGGTAAAAGCATGGAGATGACAAATGAAGCATCATGTATGAGAAGCAAGGAAAATGAATTGTTATTATTATATATTAATATATATATATTATTAGGGGGTACAGTGGATAGCATGCTGAGCCTGGAGTCAGGAAGATTAATCTTCCCAACTTCAAGTCTGGCCTCAGACGCTCGCTAGCTGGATGACCCCAGGTATGTCACTTAACCCTGTTTGCTTCAGTTTCCCCATCTGTAAAATGAGCTGGAGAAGGAAATGATAAACCACTCCAGTACCTTTGCCAGGAAAACCCCAAATGGGGTCATGAGGAGTGGGATGTGACTGAAAAATAACAAATATATTATTATATTATAATTATTTTTATTATTATTTAGTTCAGAGAACAGATAGATGTGTATGTTAAAAACAAATGTCTGTTAAATAAGGCTGGAAAAGTAGAGAGGAATCAGATTTCAGAGGACCTTAAGCCCCAGTGTTAAAAGTACCCAGGAGTGTGATGTAGTTGAAAGAGTACTATTGGACTTATTCAGAGGACCCAAATTCAGATCTTAGCGCTGCACCTTACTAGCTGTGTGACCTTGGGTAAGTCACTGGACCTCCATGTGCTTCAGTTTCCTCACCAGTAAAGTGAAGGGGTTGGACTCTGGTCCAGGTGGTTTCAGTACTTGTTTTGCTGGAGAAATAAAGGTGTGTCTTCTCTTTAAGATCATCCCAAAACTGTAATTTTTACTTTCTTGGGACGCTTCGGTTGTTTTTTTAACCCAGCCCGCTCCCCCATTCTGAGTCTGGGTGATAGGCGCGCCTCTTCTTATTAGCACACACTTTGCCAGACTTACCGTTTCAGAACTTTTCAGAAACGAGCTAGCAGTAAGACCAGAGTGTCCCAGCCTCATATCCCTAACAGAAACAAATATTTTCTCTGTGCTGGAACACACTCTACTCAGAGTTTCCATTATCCCCACAAATAACAAACTGGATGATAATGTAATACTTGGAAACATTTTGTCAAAGCTCTCCCTGGCCATAAAGTTACAAAGAAATAACTTGCAGGAGCCTGCACTGAGCAGGGGCACTAATTCAATACCTGGACGTTGCTCCTGTCGGCCACCCATGTCACCTAGTGTCTGGTGTAATAATAACAGCTGACATTTGTAAAGCCCTGGAAAGGTTCCCATGCATGTCTGCAGGCGGTCTCATTTGAGCCTCCCTGCAACCTTGAGAGAGAGAGAGGCATCCCCCTTTACAGATGGGGAGAGCTACCACTCTCATGCCCTGTTTCCCCTTGTCTGAACCCCCTGGCCTGCAGCCTGGACCACTCTCTGTCCTTCTGGATAACCCTAAAGCAGGACTTTGTTCACATCACTTCCCTGTTCAAGAAGTTTCAGTGGCTTTCTGTGGCCTTGTAGATAAAATACAGCTTCATGTTTGAAGCCTGCAAACTATCTTTCCACAGTGATTGCACATTTCACATATTCCCTTATCTGCATACATACATGTTACTGTTCCTCCCTACAATGTGAACTACCTGAAGTTCTGAACTACCTTGTTTTTGTCTTTCTGCACCCAACATCTTCCACATATATAAAATCATATACAAATACTAATTATTATTATGTGTACACATAGATGATTTTTCTCTAAACAACATCTCATATTAGGGATGCCGTGTTTGAACTTAAGAAATGGAGCTGACCTCAGCATCCCTCCCTTCCTTCCAAATGTGCTCCTCCTTTACTCCCTCAATCCACAAGCTCTTGTTAAGCCCCTGCAGGCGCGCCAGGCCCGGGACTAGACTTTGGGAACAAATACAAAGAAAGGGGCAATCCCTGTTCTCAAAAGGTTTGCACTTTACATAGATAAGTAGGTGCTAAATTAATGTAAATAGAATCAATACAAATAACTCTAAGATAAGAGGGAATTTAAGATAACGGAGAGGGAGGAAGGACACTGGCGATTGGAGGGGGCAGGAGGGGCTTCTAGCATTAGGAGGTGCAGTTCTTCTTCCCATCACTATTTTCGGATGGGTGTGGGCACTACCGTTCACTCACATCTGTCAAGTTCTAAACCCTGGGGGTAGCTTTCCTGGGGGTAGCTTTGACACCTCCCAAAGGCACTGAGTGGTCTGACTCTGTTGTTTGGCAGTGTTCCTTCATAGATTTACAGCTGGAGTTGACCTGAGGAGTTACCCAGCCCAGCTTCCTCATTGAGGGAGGAAGCTGAGGGTCAGAGAGGGGCCCGATCCTCATGGTACTTCCTGCTTTTCGTTCTCCCACTCCCACTGCCTCTACCCCAGTAAATATTCCTCATTGCTGAGTCTTCTGCAGCAGTCTCCCAACAGGTCTCTGTTGCCTTTTCTGTGAAGTCTTCCTGGAGCTCCTCAGGAATAATGTGCTTTTTCCCTTGGGTCCCACATTGCACCATCTTTGCATTTATCTAATGCAATTATTTTGTGTGACGGTCATCTGCCATATCCCCCATCCCCCATCCATGACGATAATCAACCAATCAATCGAAAAAGTATTTATTAAGAGCCTACTATGTGCCAGGCACTGTGCTAAGCACTGGAGATACAAAGAAAGGGAAAAAACCAAAACAAAACAACCCATAGTTCCTGTCTTCAAGGAGCTCACAGTCTTATGAGGCAAAACAAGATATCCATGTACACACACACACACACACACACACACACACACACACACACACACACACACACACCCCTACCATAAAGAGAAGGAGGCAACCCTAGAAAGAAAGGCACCAGAGAGACACAGAAGGCATTTCTTACCCACATGGCCTACCCAAAGAATTTGTCACCGAGGGCCAGCATCATGGGCTACTCCTTGTCCTAAGCGAGGCGGTCCTTGGAAAGCTGATAGCCCGTCGCTGGGCTCATACTCAAAGCCTTTCTCTCTGTCCCCAGAGGATAGCAACCTCTGACATCTAGTAAGTGATGAACAAATGCTTATTGACTAATTGGCTGGCTAACAAAACCTGCCAGAACTTCTGCTTAATTTGTATAGCCTTCGAGAACCAGGAGTCACCTGGACGCCGCAGTGAAAGGTCAGGGAAAGGTGCTGGAAGGACTGCCCAACATGGGGGGAGGGGGCTCACAAATTGTCCTGTAGCATCCAGCTGTTCCAATTTTACAGGGACCTTGTTCAGATGCCTAGCGGAGCATTCTGCATACAGTTGGTGACTAATAGTTGTTTGTAGAATTTAAATATGTAAAAGCAAAGGAACGTTGGCCTAATGTTCTGTGTGTGGTTTGCCGGGTTTGAGTTCCCACCAGCATTGTCATTAAAAGGCAGGGGTGATTTAGCCCAATTTCCTTATTTTAGAGATAAGAAGCCTGAGGCCCCGGGTGTTAAGGAGCTTCTCAAGGTCACAAAGTGAGGTCACGGATCCTTTGGAAAGTTTGAACATTTAAGTACTATCAGTACAATCTATTTCTCTGCTGTCCTTACGGGGTATGAGCTTTTAAGGGACTGTAGAAATGTGCGTCACTAAAAGCCAGTTTGTCAGGCCAATGAGAAATCTAGCATGGCACAGAACGCTTTCTGTGGGCAGGAGACTTTGCTCTTAACCAATTCTGGACAGTGGAGCCCTTTTTTCTTGTGTGTAGGGAAGCACTTGGGAGACTGAATTGGAAAGGCATAGAGGGCAGAAGTGTCTGCAACTGAGGCAGGTTTCTACTCAAAAAAGCAGAAAACTTGCTAAGCATCAGAGTTGTCCCGAAGTAAAGGGATCTGCCTCTGGAGGTCCCAGACGACCCTCTCACTGGCCCGTTTCTTCAGGCAAAGGCATGGTCTGTGAAAGGATTTCTCAGCAAGGGACCGGGCAGCCTCGGTGGCTCCCAAGGCCCCTCCCAGATCTAAGAAGCTTCCTGAGAATCAACTCGTTGTGGTCAAAACTGAAGTTTCTCTCCCTTGTAATTTACTGAAAGAAAAATCATTTCCCCTTGCAGGAAAAAGTGAGTGAAACATGCAACTTTCATGTTAAGTGATTTATATCAGTCTCTCGATAATTGCTTGTGTGCCTAGAGTTGTGTGAAGAAGCAGCTGTGACCATGAGTAACATCACAAGCGAATATAAGACGGTTCCTCTCCCAGAGAAGCCAACTTTTGGGTGGGGGAGGGGATGAGTAAGGGGGAGGGTCAAAGGTGATGAAGTTGGGAGACCATTGGGATTTGCACAGGCTGCCCGGGATGCCCTCCTTCCTCATCACTGCCTCTTGAAAACCCCAAAACACTGTTCAGGAGCCACCTCTTCCAGAAAGCCTTCCTGGATTACCGGTCCTCTCTTCCTCCTGAAATTACTTTGAATCATTTTGAATATTCTTTGTATTTACTTATCTGTGCATAGGATGTTTTCCCCTAGTAGAATACAAGGGGGAAACCAGTGTTTTTATTTGGGGGATATAACTGCAGAGATCCTAGTCTCCTTCATTATAACTCACATTTAAATCCTTAAAAATATCTCACAGTTTTCTGTCCTTTCTACAAAGCATCCCTCCCAAGAGGTTTGTTTAAAAAGCACCAACCTCACTTAGACTGGATGTTAAACCCATGATACTCTTGAAGAGTCAGTCAGTCAGTGAGCATTTAGTATGCTCTTACTATGTGTCAGGCACTATGCTAAGCCCTGGGGATACAAGAAAGGCAAAAGACAGTCCCTGCCCTCGAGAAGATTACAGTCTAAGGGGAGAGACAGCAAGCATATGAATATGAGCCAGCTATATAGGGAAACACAGGACACAATCCCCTGAAGGGAGGCATAAGCATCACCTCTGCAGTGTGCATCCTAGTCTCACTTAATGTGAACACGCTGTGTCTCTCCCTCCCCAGCTGGGGAATGTAAGCTCCCAGAGGGCAGGAACTGCTTGGATTTTGAATTTGTATCTCTATTGCTTAGCGCACCTTCTGGCCCAATAAGACCGTGACACACCTTGGCAAGTGAAGTTAACCTCTCTGGGACCCAGTTCCCTCCTCTCTGACACGAGGGGCTTAGACTAGCTGACCTCTAGGGCCCTTCAGCTCTGAATAAATCCTCCCCTCTTCAGATGGGCCTGAATGCCGGATGGGTCACGGTGTCCTGGTTGGGACCCACAGCCGCCACGAGGTGGCAGCAAACCACGGCAGATCCACGAAGCTCATGCTTCATCTCTCCAGCCTCAGCCTTGCCTGGGATTGGCCCTGGGGGTTCTCTTGTGAAATTATCCCTTCCCAATTCAGCATCTCCTTAAAATTGATGCAATGGGCCTGGGCCGATTCGGAAACGTTAGGACAAATGGGCTGGGAAGGCGCTTTGGTTTCATCCAAACCCAATTAGAATGCAAAGTTCTATTCAATATCCATTAGTAAAAATCACTTTGACCTTGATGCTGGAGGTGGAGCAGGGTGACCGAAAGTATATGCCACTTTAAGGTCCACGAGCTACCTTCTTCACACTAGCTCTGCCAGGCAGATTTCGCAAGTATTGTTACTCTCATTTTGCAGATGAGGAAACTGAGGCACAAATAAATTGACTTCCCCAGGGTTAGAAAGCTAAGTGTTGATGGCCCTCTCTTCCCTGACATAATTGTAATTCCCTGTAATGACTGAGATCTTCCAAACTGGAGCCTTTCCACCTTCACCTGGGTCATTCCTGGAGTTCACTGCTGGACTAATTGCTCTTTATAGACACATGGTGTCCCCAAAGTCTGTGTGTTAAATTTTAACAGCTATTAAAACTAATAGCTTTAATAGCAATTAAAACCATTAAAGGTTTAAAATACTTTTGGGACCTCCTGTATAGACCTAGAAGTGTGTCTGACATTTTCAACCAATTACAACCCATTTTCTGCGCAGCACCATCTGTCTTCATCCAATATTCAAAGGACCCGAATCTTCTCCAATTGATTAAGGAATTGTTTCACATCTAGTTTATACTGTTGATTGATTGATTGCAGTCGGGTATCTAAGTCTTCTGTGATTAACTGGGCTTAGGGCAGAACCCCACTTTTACATATGTACTTCATTTATGATGAACCTTAGACAATATTAATATAAATACATAATAACAACAATAGCTGGCATTTATATAGAGCTTTAAGGCTGGCAAAGTACTTTACAAATACTCTCTCTGATCTCATAACAACAGTAACAGATGCTATGATCCTATTTTACAGCTGGGCAAACTAAGCCCTCAGAGTTTAAGTGCAGTTTTAAGCTTTAATAGTTTCAGTAACTATCAAAACTTAAAACTGCATCTGAGTTTTAAGGCTGAATTTGAACTTGGGTCTTGCTGACTCCACATCCAGAAATCAATCATGGTCATTTTACACTTACATTTATTTGTAAGATGGAGATAATGGATGCCTTTCTCTTGGGATCATGAGGATGCAGTGACATAGATCGTCTGTGGCGCCATCTTCATGGACCTCTTTCACTGTTCGCTATTATCATATGATAATTCTTTTTCAATGGAGTGTTGGGACGATGCCTATGAATATTCCATGACTTAATAATGCACACAATTCCAAAACGTGAACCAGGCAAGGAAGGAATTGAAAGAAAAGTTATATTTCAAGTAATAATTTCAAAACAAAGAAATACATTTCCTTGTTGTGTAGGAAAATCTGAATAATGAGGAAATTGTTTTCTTGCAACAGGAAAGAACCCTTAATCCTGCTTTGTTGGTTCTTAGCAAAATGCCCTCTTTATTATGTTCAGGAAGCCATTTAGCAGCGACCCACACTGATTCAGCTATTCCCAAAGAAATTCCGCTGGGATTGAATAAAGCTGTTTTTCAGAAATCTATAAACCCAGTTTTAAAAGAACGCGGCCTGGGGGGGACGACATGGTGCATATTTTGTGGGACCCCTGCAGCAATAATGCATGCATCTTTGATGCATGATTCTCCATGTCCCTACATGTACATTTTTAAAAGGGATTAACTAGAACAATTCAGAATATCAGGATGACCGAATAATCAGGGTCTGAGGACCACAGATTTAGAGCCAGAAGGAACCTCGGAGACTTTCTAGCACAAAAGCCTCTCATTTTATGGATGAACAAATGGAGACATGGAACGTTGTCCAAAGCCACACAGTTGTAATCATCAAAAATGGAATTTGCACCCGGCTCCTGATTCCAGAATTGGCACTATTTCCACCGAACCATGTAGCCTCTTAAATTATGAGAAAGCTGATTTTTAAAATTGCTGGATGGCATTTCTCCTGTCTGCTGAGGGAAGAGAACCCCTGACCTTATCTTGTGCAGCTTTGAAAGGAGAATTGTGGGGGGAAAGAGTTCTAGGATGTCCTAGTCAGACAAAGGAAACTGGCTGCTAAAAGCCCCCCCCTTCTTCCTTTTCTCCCTCCCTTTCCCCAGAGCCCCTGCATTTTAGAGTCTTTGAGTATGGTCCATGTCGGTTTTTGCAGAAGGTTCGAGTAAAGACTGATTCCAAGGATTTCTGGTGCACTGTCTCTGTCCCTCCTGGAGATCTCCTGAAATACCAGTTAGACAAAACTGGGCTTCTTTTGCAGAGCCTCCTGACAGTCGTGGAAGGGTGAGGCTGAGGCAGCTTTGGAGATTCAAGGAAGCTGAGGGTTATGACTACATCAACAGGGAGGAGCCTCTGCATACATCTTCTGAGTCAGGTCTCTTGGCCCCAGGAAATAAAGCTCCATAGGTACTTTCAGTCCAGATACCTTGCAAGATCAATAAAGCCACATTCTAGTTTTCTTGACATTAAGCAGTTTTTATAGGCCGTGTAATACATGCTTCTTATTCTGATTTACCTGATCAGAAATATCCGTTTAAACGCTGCTGCCTTTAGCTCACCTTCCAAGCCAGTAAAAGTTGCTGGCTGACTTCCATCATCACCAGGCAAGTAGAGCAACTGGTTTTCAGGCAAATCTCCCACCTGAGGTGTAATGTCACCGTGCTAACATTGTCTTCTTTTTCTCCAAGTTCCTCAGGTCTCTTTGAAATCCTTCCAAGGCGAAGCTCACCATGTTGTACCTCTGAGTGCTTCCATCTTTAAAGACCATTTGACTTCCGGTAAGAATAATGTCATAGCTCACATTTCCACAGTGTTTTAAAGGTTATAAGGTTCATCTCACATGAACCCTGGGAGGTGGGTAGTCCCAGTGTTATTATCATTCCTATTTTTAAGATGAGGAAACTGAGGTCCAGTGAAGTTAAGTAACTGGTCCAGGGTCACGAGCTATTACGTGTTGGTGCTGGAAATTGAACACAGAAATATTTAGTTGCCAAGGGAAGAGTGTGGGATTTGGAGTCAGAGTACTTGGAGCCAACAAAATGCCAAGCCAGCTCCTGTCCTCAAGGAGCTTACATTCTAATGGCCTCGTTTTCCTCCTTTCAGAATTTCAGCCATTTAGTTCATGAATTCATCCAAGTTGCACCATTAACCATGGACTCTCTTCCCTTCTCTCTCCATATTATTTCACTTTGTGATCTCATCAGCTTTCATAGATTCAATTATTATTTCTATTATAATGATTCTCAAACCTTAAACCAGTCAATCAATTAATATTTATTAATGTGCTAAGTGCTGGGGGTACAAAAAGAGGTAAAAGACAGTCCCTGCCCTTAAGAAGCTTACAATCTAATGGAGGAGACAATATGTGCCCATGAATATATGCAGAACATCAATTACTACAGCAATAACTGGGCTTTATAAATGGCATCTTAAAGCTTGCAAAGGTGCTTTACATATTTTACATATTTTATTACATATTTATATATGTTATCTTGTTTACAATTACCCTGGGAGGTAGGTGCTATTTTACCCTAATTTTAGAGATGAGGGGCCTGTGAGTGAGGGAGAGTAATTGGCTTAACCGTGGTCACACTGCTAGTGTCTGAGACAGGATTTGAACTCAGGTCTTGCCGACTCCAGGACCACCACTCTACATAGTCACAGTATCACTCAGCTGCCACAGGTGTTGTAGGGATTGAATCAGATATAGGGGTTAGGAGTTGAGGATGACTCTTTGGTTGTGAGCCTGGATGACTGGAAGGAGGGCAGTTCCCTCCCTGGGACACTCCCCTGCTGGCTTGTTTCCAAATGGACACAGAATCATTAATGACCACTGGTTAGGTACCATCAACATTCAATCGGTTGGACTCTGCTCAACTGTCCTTTTACCAAGAATACAGCTCATTCTTTTTTCCCACAATGATGACATGAAAGACTTCATTAAATTCTTTGCTGAAATCCAGGTAAATTATGTCCACAGCACTTCCTAATCTATCACTCTAATAACCTTGTCAAAAAATTCTAACTTGGTCTCTTTGGATAGCTCACCCTTTTCTTCCTCAATGGAATTATTTTTGGATCTTCAGACTTTTATTTATTTCTAAAAATAATTCATTTACTTTCAGTTTTCGACATTCACTTCCATAAGATTTTGAATTTTAAATTTTCTCTCCCTCCCTCTCTTTCCACCTCCCCAAGACAGCATGCAGTCTGATATAGGCTCTACTTATACATTCATATTAAGCATATTTTGCCATTGGTCATGATGTACAGAAGAATTAGAACTAATGGAAGGAACCACAAGAAAGAAGGAACAAAACAAAACAACAAAAGAAAAGAAGAGCAAACAGCATGCTTGAATCTGCATTCAGACTCCAAAGTTCTTTCTCTGGATGTGGACGGCATTTTTTTTATTTTTGGAGTTGTTTTAGATTCTTGCATTGCTGAAAAGAGCTAAGTCTGTTAAGGTCAGTCATCACACAACATGGCTGTTACTGTGTACAATATTCTCCTGGTTCTGCTCACTCCACTCAGCATCAGTCCATACAAGTCTTTCCAGGTTTTTCTGAAGTCAGCCTGCTCATCATTTCTTATAGCACAATAGTATTCCATTACATTCACATACCACAGCTTGTTCAGCCATTCCCCAATTGATAGGCATCCCCATAGTTTCCAATTCTTGGCCACCACAAAAAGAGCTGCTATAAATATTTTTGTACATGTGAGTCCTTTTCCTGTTTTTATTATCTCTTTGGGATACAGATCTAGCAGTGGTATTGTTGGGTCAAAGGGTATGCATAGTTTTATAGCCCTTTGGGCATAATTCCAAATTGATGTCCAGAATGGTTGGATCGGTTCACAACTCCACCAACAATGTATTAGTGTTCCAATTTTCCCACATCTTCTCCAACATTTTCATTTTCCTGTTTTGTCATGTTAGTCAATCTGATAGGTGTGATGTGGTACCTCAGAGTCATTTTGATTTGCGTTTCTCTAATCAATAGTGATTTAGAGTATTTTTTCATATGACTATAGGTGGCTTTAATTTCTTCATCTGGAAACTGCCTGTTCATATCCTTTGACCATTTATCAGTTGGGGAATGACTTGTAGTCTTAATAATTCGACTCAGATCTCTATATATTTTAGAAATGAGACATTGGCTATAAAAATTGTTTCCCAGCTTTCTGCTTCCCTTCTAATCTTGGTTACACTTGGCTTTGTGCAAAAACTTTTCAATTTAATGTAATCAAAGTCATCCATTTTTCATTTCATAATATTCTCTATCTCATTTGGTCATGAATTCTTCTGTTCTCCATAGATCTGATAGGTAAAATAGTCTTTGTTCTCCTAGTTTGCTTATAGTATCAGCCTTTACATCTAAATCATGTACCCATTTTGACTTTATCTTGGTATAGGGTGCAGACTTTCTTTCTTGACAAGTTCCCACCCCAACCTGACTTCCCATAGAACCTAAAGCCATACACTGGTGTCTAACCTTTCTCTGAATCCCTTAGAACTAGTTTTCTGGAAAACATGATGATACCTGACTTTTCTCTGCCTTTCTATCACAAATTCTGGCCACTTTTGCTCAAATTTCTCCTTATTTTCACACCAGCAGCCAGTCCCTCTGTTGGGTAGTATCCATCTTGATGAATTGAAGATATGGGCCATCTTTTTATGGTTCCTTATCCCTTCTCCCCAGTAGATTATAACTATCTTCAGGGAAGAGTCTAGGACTCCTCGTCCCTGTAAATCTTCCAGCAGTGCCTCACACACGACTGGGTATATACATGTGTATACACACACACACACACACACACACACACACACAGAGATAGATAGATAGATAGATAGATAGATAGATAGATAGATAGATAGAGAGAGAGAGAGATATGTATATATGTATATATCAGAGATCCAGTTAACAGATGAGCCAGCATAGTGCCAGGATTATCACTCCCAGGGCATCCAGGAGATCCTTCTTATTGCTGGCCACTTTTTGTTGGCCACTAACAAGGACTTGCAAGATGGTTTCTTAGCTGACCTCAGACTTTCCTGAACTATCAACATTCATTTAATGCTCAATCCTCACCTGACCATCCCTGGTCAGCTGTCACACGGTCCAAACCACTGGGGCTAGTTGTATTTTAAACTTCCCGAACTGAGGCAAAAGTCAAAGACACAGGTACAGGATTCCCCCATTCTGTACTTAGCATACAGCGGTGGACACATCAGCCATAGCCTCAGCATTGGCCCAGAATAAGGGTCTTTACATATGTAAGAAAGGCATCGTAGACGGCCAGTGAACTGGTCCAGGAGCTGAACAGGAAAGGGTGGGATGAAGAGTCTTCAAGAAATTACAAAGCTTCTTTGCTGACCCCAAGTTTCCCTCTGAGATGACAGCTCACCTTTTAAAAATCCAAATCCTAGCAGTGTTGCTATATATATATATACCCCAAACTACAAAGGTTTCTGAAGAATTAAAATGAGTGTCCCATGAGGACAAGGGAGAGGTACAGAGTGCGCTGTAGAGCCAATGAGGAACTTGGAAGAGGAATGAAGTAAAAGATTTCACTGAGAAAATTTATGATAGGTAAAGAAGATGTGTCTAGTGCAAAGAGTTACAGGTAGGCTGCCAGAGCACTCCTCTGGTATCCTTGTGATATTGAGTTAAGAGAAATCAAGGAAGACCTCCAATATTGTCTCCATGTCAAAGAAAGACATGAGCTTAAAAAGCAGTCAGTTGGAAAGATGACGAACTTGAGGGATAATAGATAGTTTGTGTGTTCTGCTAGGATCTTTGTGATGTCAAGAGAAATTGAAGAGGGCCTCCACCATGTTGGATGGACCCTGTGTGGTAGACTTATGGACTGACATGGACAGCAGTCCCAAGGGATGGACAGGTACGGATGAGCTGAAATCTGCAATACCTACACTGATGAGATCCTGCACACACTAGGTTATTTGAATACGTAAGTGTCTGCTTTGAACATAGTATATACTCAGCTAATCAGCAAGCATTTATTAACTACTTAATATACATGAAGCACCGAGCTCAGCTGCTGGGCACACACATACAAACAGAGAGAAAGACAGTCCCTGCTTACAAGGGACATTCTAATGGGAGAAGACATAAAAAGAAACTTGTGCCCAGAGAGGGGGTGGGAATGAGGGTATCTTGCAGCCTGGAGAGGAACGAGACCTGGCTGGCCTGGGCACCCTCCTTGATTGGAGATTCTGGAGGGATCCATTGAATCAGAAGAAGAGGCCACAAGAGCAGAGAGTGTGTGAATTTGAGGGGTTTAGAGAGCATCCAGGGAGCATGTTAGGGAAGGTCTGGAGTGTAGCTTGGGGGAAAAAAAAGCTCAGTAAAGGTTAATTGAATGGCTTGATAAATTTTTTATATTAGCCAAAAATAAGTTTAATATGTTGTACAGTTACAAAAGACCCCCAAAGACAGCTAACATCCGGTTCCCATCAGAGAATGTCTGGTCAGCTTTGTAAGATTTATTGAATTACAAAATCTCAAGGTCAGAAGGTTTCTGGGTATCCACTGAGTCCAACATGCATGTTAACAAGGTCCCTCTAGAATATCCCTCACAAGGGGCCAGCCCACCTTTGCCTGAAGACCTGGAAATTCAAGATGCCCATTGTGCCATTATCCAAGTAACTGACAAAATTCTAAGGCAGAGCCGAGCACAGGTCCCTGGGCCACTCCATCGAGGACCGCCAGCCAGGCCAGCGTGCAAACGCTTGGAGAGGAGGAATAGTGTCATTCTTTGTTTTTGGATTATCAGGACCTCGCAGAGAGTTTGGTACAAAGTAAATACTTAATACGCACTTATTAGTTGACTGGAGTTGACATTGGAGCATTAATGACTCCTGTTTGGGTCTGGGCACGAAGCGGATGCTGAATCCATCTAAGGGTGCTGCTATATTGGCCACCTTCACCAACTTTGTCTACTAGGTGATCACGGGGCACATTGCTCCAATCCAAGTACCCTGTGTCTATGTTACTCCCCCACCTACTAGTATGAGGCTGGTCTGGCATGGCTGTTTCTAGGTTAACCCATGTTGGGTCACACAGAGAGCCATGGTACAGTGGCAGAGCGCAGGATTTAGGAACCTGGCTTCCTAGGTTGTGCGTTCCCAGAGGACCTGAGTTCAAATCCCACTTGTCCTATCTATGTGATTTCATGGTTCTGGGCCTCAGCAAAAAGGGGGGTGGTTTGGAATAGACTTGGTGACTTCTCAGTTGCCTTCTAGCTCTGAATTCTGTGACGTCTCCAATCCACTCCAAGCCAAGCCAACAAGCATTGCATGCTGACTACATGTAAGTCCCCATGCTGGGTGCTGAAGCATACAAATAGGAAATGGAGAACAGTCTTTGGCTTCAAGAACCTTACACTCCAGTTTGAGGGAAGGGGGGTTAACCCTTGTCAAGGAATGAAGTGAATCAGCATAGCCGATATTGCAACACAGCATCCTGTATGTATGTAGTAGGTGTGGAGGCGCTCGGTAATGCTGGGTGAACAATGAATAGATGGAAGGATTCATGGATGGATGAATGGATGGACAGGCAGGAGGATGAGTGCATGGACAGGAAGGTGGATAGCTGGAGAGGTGGACAAATGAATGCATTCACATCCATAAATGCCCTGCTTTTATAATCTAGTGGAAAGGCAATATAGACTTGCCAGTAGTGATTCTGGGGCTCATTCCTCTAGTTCTGTTAAGATACACATAATGCTTTTCTCAACAGATTAGAAAGAGTGATCTTTTTACCTTGAAAATGGAGGCAAATTGAACATGAATATTGTTTACTTCTCACAGAAGGTTAAAAACAACAACAAAAACCCCCAGACCAAAACCACATTACCAGAGAAGTTAGTTTTGCTACGTATGAGGGGCAATTGAGAATTATGTCGTAGGTCAGACAAACCAAATAAGGTGTTTAACTGAAAAGGATCCCAAGAAAAGATGCACACACAAGCACAGAAACGTACTGAACCTGACCACATTTTCACAATCACACCTCTAAAAACCCTCTGACACCAGCCCTCCACGCATGCAAGTTTTCCGGAGTGAAAGGTTGTTTGCAGAAAGAACCTTGCCTATCAAAGGAGAGGCTCTCCACCATCCACAAAGAAAAAAAGAAACTAAAATGTAATTCAAACATTCATTGTTACACTTGGTCTATTAATGATATTACTGTTGAAAGTGAGGGAAGAAATCACATCTCAAAAGAAAAAATCCCTTCTCTTCTATTCCCAATGCACTTACCCAGCATAGCAGGTAAAACAGAGTCAATAAATGCTCGTGGAAGGATGGGTGGATTGATTTGCTTCTAACTTCCTATTTTAGCCCTTCTCTTCAAGGCCATTGTCTTCTCAAACCAAAAGAGTTTCCTTGGAATGGAACCTGCTTTTATGTATGTCTGTCCAAACAGTAAATCAGTTCACATGCTTTAAGAATTAGCCCTCCATTCAGGCAATAGAGGAGAATAGCACTAACACTGTCTCCTATATACCGTTACCACTATCCTTTGATATCCTTCCCACTAAGCATACCTCCATTGACCACCCCCATCTATTTACAGTGGTTTCCCACATCTGCTGGCTCTTAATGACACTTTACTCTGGAGTTCACTATTTCAGTCTCCAGAGTGTGGCTGGCCTATAAAGTGGGAAGCCCATAAAGCAGAATCCCCTTTCTTCTCACCTCTTTCCCCCTTGCACAGTGCACACTAAGAGAGAAAGCAGATTCTGTCATTATTCAGCTGCAACAAAAGCCAAGCACTTGTGTCTTTCCCTCCTTTCCAGGCAATAGAAATCCCACCGCCGGACTTTTGTCTGCAATGCTCTTCTGTGTCACTGTGGTGTCTGCACTTTTCTTGACTGTGATATTTAAGCAGTCACTTAGAGTCAGGTAAGTGTGTCCAGGACTTATCCTCCCACCACACTCCTCCCCTCCAACTTCAGGTCACCCCAAACACCCACCTGATGTCTGTCTACAGAAGACCAAAACACATGTGGTTGGTCAGTCAATTCTATGAAAAAAAATCTAATCAATCACCTAGACATTTTGGCTACATACTCAACAGCTGCTTTGACTTTTCCTACCCAATTGCCTGAATGGATTACTTTCTTAAGTTGACTCAGACATATCAATCAAAAAACTTCTAGTAGATGCCTATTCTGTGCCAAGAAACTGCTAAGCACTGAGGATTCAGTCTTTGCCCTCAGGGAGCTTATATTCCATCAGAACCCGACAACCAGGGCAAGTATAGATAGAATAAATACAACCTGAGAAAGCATACCTTAGACCATCATCAGCATCAAGGTTTTCATCATCTCAAATGCACAGGGCTCTGGTCACTTGAGGGGCTGCATCCCCAGCTTCAATGGTTCTTGTTTCTTTTCTCTTTAAACAAACCACCACCTGTATGTTTTTCCAAGTTTTTCCATCAAGAAAGTACAACTTTATTAAATTTCTTTCCCTGTTTGCGAATGAAAAATGTATTTTAAAACATTAAACCAACAATAATGAAGAGGATGTGGCCAGGTCTCGGTAGGAACGCTTGGGATGATCAAATTGAAGATGGTCCCAGCTACTGGCACATTCTTTCGCATTCTTGTGCTTTCTATGGATTTTCTGAATGCACTTTATATTATTGTCCTGTTCAAAGGAAATGTGATTTCTGGAGGTTTGGGCAATAAACTTTTAGCTGCGGTTGGGAGAGGGTGGAGAATCAGAGAAGAGAAACGAAAGGAAGCCAGGAGGAAGGAGTGAAAGTGTAGGGATCTTCTAGTATGGTGGAGGCAAAGCGCTGATGTCCTTGCTACCTAAAGAGGAAGTGGGTCAGTTCATTGGGAAGGTCAGCGTCTGTACTGGCAGTCTCTTGAGTACATATATAAGTATTCTGCTACTCACTATGTGTGTCCTTGAGGAAGTCACTTGCCAAACTTGGTTCCAAAGGCAGGGCCTCAGTTTCTTTCTCAGTAAAACAGAGATAATCCTATTTATACTAGCTCCCTCTTGGAGTTGTTAAGAGGAAAGTAAAAAGAGGGGGTTGGGCTTTGTGTCCTATGAGGATTGGCTAGAGGAATTGGGACCTCTTAGCTCAGAGAAAAGAAGCCTGGGAGGTCGGGAGGGGGAAGCGGGGAGAGATGATAGGTATCTACATGTATTGGAAACCTGCCATTTAGAGGAAGGGTTAGCCTGTTCTGCTTCCCCAGAGGTCAAGACCAGGAGGGACAGGGGAAATGCAGATAGGATGGTTTGGCTTCATGTCAGAAAACCCTTCCCAGCAGCCATCCTACGTGAGAATGGGCTGCCTTCACAAGTGGGGGGGACCTCTCTCCCTGGAGGTCTTTAAGCAGAGCCTCCTTGTTGGGTGTCAAGGGAGAGGGGAATCTCCTGTCCTTGGACTAGAGGCCTCAGAACTCTCTTCTGTAGTAACACACCAAGTGTTAAATGACCCAGAGAGAATCATATTCACAGAGCTGTTGAGAGACAGGTTCAGAACCTGTTCCATCATTTCAGGCTGCCTTTAATTAAGCCTGCCATAAGCCCCAGGAGACTTTGTCCTTAACCATACTCTACATGAAATCATTCACATTTGTGTCACGAAAGCAAAGATTCCCAGTTAGCCGCACCGGACAAACAGGAAAACGTGTCAGCAAAGACCAACCTGCAGTTGGCAAGGAGAGGTACAGGGGTGGGGCAGGAAATGATTTTGAATTTATTAATACGTTTTAAAAGAGAGAGAGAAATGAGATTCTAAAGCTAAGCTAATTGTTGTACATAGGAACATATCCTGTTATTCAATGTTCAACGGGGAATTGTTTGTCAGATCCTGATATAGGAAACAGAAATGGGAAGAAGTGTGGAAAACATTTCACATAGTGAGAGGAGAGAGTGGGGGGCTGTGTTTGGGACCGCCTGAGCTGCCAGTGTTTTGTCCTAACGCTGCTGGTCTCACTCCGTCCTAATCAATCGATAGGCATTGGTTGAATATCGGTGCCCCTGCAGGGGCTGTGCTGCACGTGTGGGGGACACAAGGCCAGCAGCCAGGCAGCCTCTGCCCTCAGGGAGCTTACAGCCCAGATGGGTGAGAGCACACCCACATTTGGTGGAAATAAACAAAGCGTGTTCCCGGCAGATACAAGGCGATGGGGAAAGGGGTAGACAGGAGTGGGGGAAGATGAAGGGCAAGGTTCGTAGTCTGGGATCGGGGAATTTTTAAAGTTCATATTTGGATAACTATTTCAAGTAGACACGCATTTATTAAGCACCCACTGTGTGTCAGGTACTGTGCTAAGCTCTGGGAGTACAAAGAAAGGCAAAAGCAGCCCCTGCCCTCAAGGGGCTTCTATTCTAAGGAGGGAGGTGCCTTAACCAGGGGCCCATAAATATGGTTTAAAATAGTTCAAAGGGGGAAGGAGAAGGGGACAAGTACTTATGTCTGTTATGTGCCAGGCCCTCATTTCATCCTCACAACAACTCTAGGAGGTAGGTTCTATTATATCCCCATTTACAGTTGAGGACACTGAAGCAAACAGAGGTTAAGTGACTTGCCCAGGGTCACATGGCTACTAAGCATCTGAGGCTGGATTTGAACTCAGGTCTTCCAGATTCCAGGCCCCCCGGCTGGTAACTGTATTTCAGCACAACTGGTTTCCTTTGTAATCCTATCTGTTTTATATTGTGCATTTAACCATGTTATTCTGAGGAGTGGCCCACAGGCTTCACCAAACCAATTGCCTGCGGGGTCTGTGACACAAAGACACTGAAGAATTCTTGTTGTAGAAGATGATTCTTAGGCTGGCCCATGAAGGAGCCCAGGATTTGTGAGAGACAGAGCTGAGGAGGAAGTACAGGAGATGGAGTGTCATGTATGAGGTCTGCCTGGCTGGGCCTCTAGTACTAGGCAGCTAGGTGGTGCCATGGTGCACAGAGCACAGGGCCTGGAGACTGACCTCCCCAAGTTCAAATCCGGCCTCAGCCACTCGCTAGCCGTGTGACCCTGGGCAAGTCACTTAACCTGTTTGCCTCAGTTTCCTTATCTGTAAAGTGAGCTGGAGAAGGAAATGGCAAATGACTCAAGATGAAGAGTTGGATGTGACTGAACTAGTATTAATATTCCTAACAGCTCTCATTCCTATAGTACCTCAATAAAGTGCTTTCCTCATAACAACCCCATAATGTAAGGGTTCATAGATATTATAGGTATTGTGTTATGATAGGTATTATTATCCCTATTTTGCAGATGAGAAAACTGAGACCCAGAGAGTCTAAATGAAGATCAGATAGCTCAGTAAATATGAGTGTGAGCATCCCTACCCAGGCCACCTTGGCTTTTCCAGCTTAACCGTCTTCCTATGATACTGTCATAGCTGAATAGAATTGAATTAGGCACTCCATAGATAGCTCCTTCTTATAATATTTCATGTCGGGTGTTGTGGTTTTTTTTTTAAGAATTAAAAGGCGACTCCTCTTGCTCCTACCAAATTGGCTTCATGAAGACGTCCCCAATGTGAGGAATAGTTGTGCTATAAAAACCTTACAGGTAAGCGTTGCCAAGAACTGATAATGGTTGGGGGAGGAGGAGGGAGTTTCTGAGGATGGGGGAGGAGTGGGGGAAGGTCAAAATTGGGATAACTTTTCTGTTGAAAATATTTGCTTAAAAACTAACATCTGGTTCAGAAGGAGGCAAAGGGAAGCAGGGCGGTGCTGGAGCAACTATTAAATTTGAAATAAATGATGGTCCCAACAGAAACCCAAGCTAAAGGTATTGGAAATTCATTGTTTCATATCATAGAATCATAGATTTTGAACAGGGAGGGAACTCACAGATCACTGAGCTCCTTCATTTCTCAGGGGAGGAAACTGAGGTCCAGAGAAATGAAGCGTTCAAGGCAGTGAGTGTCAGAGGTGAGATTCGAACTCAAGGCTTCTGAGTTTAGTGTTACTGCTCTTTCCCTGTAGATATGCAATCCTCTTTTTCTGTTCTTGCACGGGGAAATATTCATGTTTGTAAAGTGGTTAACAACAAAGTACCCCGAATATACAAACATATATAAAAGGGACAAGGAGTGACAGTGGTCACAATAAAGACCATTGGCTGGGCCAGAGTCTGAGTCCCTTCTCTGACACGTCCTGGCTGCATCCTTGTGGACAAGTCACCTCTGGCCCATCAGCTCTCTGAGACTACACGGTAAAGAGCAGGTCCCAATCTGGACTCAGAGTTAGAGGCACCATGTCTGTATAATGGGTAATGTATGTAGCACATACATTAAGTGTATGGCTAAGTCACCAGGGGTGGGGAACTTGTGGCCTCGAGCCCACGCGTGGCCCTCTAGGTCCTCAAGTGCGGCCCTTTGACTGAGTCCAAACTTCACGGAACAAATCCATAAATTAACATTATCTATGTTGCATTGTATTTTTGCTTACTCTGTTAAATATTTCCTAATGACATTTTAATCTGGTCAGGGAGCTCACAAGGAGTATTATAGGCCTGGAATAGGTGCCCTCTGAGGTGTCTTCCAGCTCCAGATATAGGATGCTATGTGTGACCGTGGACAGGTCACTTAACACCCTTGGGCCTCAGTTTCCATATCTGTAAAATGAGGGGGTTGGCACAATTCCAGAGGACCCAGGATGACACATACCACCAACAAGGGAATTTGTTGTGTTCGACTGTGCACATTTGTTACAAGGTTTGGGCTTTCTTTTTTTCTCATTTTTCTTATGGGAGAGGGAGGGAGGATGGAAGGGGGAAAGAAATCGGTTTTTTTGTTAATTAAAAAAGGATATTAAATAAAACCTAATAAACTAAACTAAACTGAGAGGGTAGAAGTACCTGCGGTCTGAGGCCCCACCAGCTCTAGCCCTGGGCCGTGCATCCCTCTCATGGCCACCACGCATCTCTCCACAGTGAGACCCGCAAGGCCGGCAACCCCTGAAGGGGCAGATGGTGGGTGGTATCTGTCCAGCCACCTTGAAATCAGGCTGCGCCTTCTTCCCCCAGGACACCGTAGGCCAGCTACACGTAGGCCGATTCTTCTGCTTTATTGCATCCCCATCAATAATAACGATAGCTACAATTACTTAGTGTGTCAACGTTACCAAGTGCTTTAAATGCAGTGTCACATTTGGTCCTCCCAAGAACCCAGCAGGAGGTCGTCACCTACAGGTATTGTCTCCACGTGGAACGTAAGCAGGTATTCAAACGTGGTTCCCCCCATGATTGGGGAAAGGGAGTCAAACACAGAATACCCAGTTACATAAAGATGAAGAGACTGAGGTTCAGAGGACTTACCTGATTTCTCCACAGTCAGAAGCCAGTGAGTGTCTGAGGCTGGAGATGAACCTGGTTTTCTTTTGATTTCCAGGACTGCATCCTCTACTAGGGGCCGGCAAAGGATCACCCCCAGTACTGATAGGGAGAGCTCACGGGCTGTGCAGAAACAGATCCTGGGCCGGGTTTGGCCCTCAGGCCGGTCTGCTGACTGACCCCTATCCTATGCCAAGCCCTTCCCGTTTCATCTCACATTATAACCAAACCCAACCACGATGGAGCAAAAGTCATTGTTTTAATTATAATATTTTGTTTGAAGGGAATTCACTGATCCTTATTCATCTTTTGCCTAGCTCTGTATTTAAAGAGGGAGACCCAAAAGTGCATTTGTAAGATGTTAAAGCTTCAAACTGCACTGGGACTTTTTTTTTTTTTTGCTTTTAGGCAATTGGGGTTAAGTGACTAGCCCAGGGTCACACAGCTAGTAAGTGTCAAGTGTTTGGTCTGAGGCCGGATTTGAACTCAGGTCCTCCTGACTCAGGGCCGGTGCTCTATCCACTGCACCACCTAGCTGCCCCTACATGGGGACTTTTTGAGATGCCCTATATACATATGTGTATGTGTGTGTGTGTGTGTGTGTGTGCATATATGTCCATGTGTGTATATAATGTGTGTGTTTATATGTGTATACACACATATGTAACAGGAGTACTAGATTAATATTCAGTCTATTAGCTAACAAAAATAGGAGATAAGGAAGTGAAATAAAATGAAGAAAAGGAATGAGAAAGGAAAAGAGAGGCTGAGAGAAAGCAGAGTGGAGACAGGTTTCTGGTTTTCTGCTCAGCTTTCCTTTTTGCACCTTGGTTTTGTGGAAATAATGCACTTTTTTTCTCTTCTAGGAAATAAGTGAATTTATCATGAATAATTCCAGCGAGTCATCCCTTGACCCAGATCCAGTAATCACGGAGATAGAGGAAACCTATCTCCAGAAAGAATTCCAACCCATACACTCTAAAATGGAAACCACAACAGAGCCCGCGGCGACTGGGGAGGACCCGCACACCTCACCGCTTGTGGATGTGACCGTCGCTTATCTCCCTGACCCCAGCACTGGCTACAAACCACAGATCTCCAGTTTGCTCCCTGGGGCGCACCCTACCCACAAGATCAGTGACCCGAGAGTCTCAGCCTTTGAATCCCAAGTCAATCCTTTGGGTCTGGGCAAGAATGTGGTGATCAGAAACTGTCCGAGCCCAGTTTTCTCCAGCACCAGCACCAATGTTGGGAGGGACCTTTTCTCCCTGAAAGAAAGAGGCCTCATCTTTGACCCCAGTGAGAGTGGGTCAGTGGAAGGGCCAGAGGAGACTGAAATGGAGGCCTTGATGACCTTGGAAAAGCAACCGTCCAGGGAAAGTCTTCCAGAGCAGACCCTGCTACCCGATGATCTGGTCTCCTGTTTGAGGGCCAGGGGGGAGGAGGAGTCCCCAGATGTCCGCCCTTATTTTCCACAGAGGTTTGGAGGGCTGTTTCCATAGGATTTTCCCCTTTCAGTAGGAAAGGTTTTGTCTCACTTGGAGCCAGCCACCCCAAGCGGATTCTATTGACGTTATTGGCTGAAGCCCGGCCTTTTTCTTGATGCTCATGGTCATTAGGAGCAAAGATGTCAGTCAGGGAGGCACCAGGTCCTTTCCTTTCTGAGCCACAGTCTTCTTTACATTGAGAACAGCTCCTTCCCAATGTAGGATACCAGCTGAAAACAAGGAGAAGGGTACCATGCTGATAACGCAGTTGGATGCTGATGGGGATGCGGGGGTCTCACCAGTCCAGACCACTCCTTCCCATGGAACACAACTCTCACTGGCATCTCTCCACAGAAGACCTTCCCAAGGCTCTGGATATCATCCTCGGACCCTTTTACTATACTGTGGCCGTTAGTGAAATGCTTGGGTTAAGCATCTGTTATCCCTGACCTTGCTATGGGACTGGCCCATTCCACATCCCTTTCTGAACCCACATGTCCCGATAGCTTTTGCACCACTTCTCAGATGCCTCTGGTAACTTATACACAATGGGCATATTTTCCCTTTGGGTCACCTGTAAGAGATAATCTTCTGGGTCACCTGAACCTTCTGAGATCATCACGTTCCACAGTTCAGAGATGGTTCCAAAGGCATTCTCCAACCTGGGTGTCAAAAAGATGAGGAGCTCTGGGTCATTGAAAATCCTGCACAGTTTCTTAAAGGTGATCTATCCATTTCAACCTCTTTCTCTGTTTCCATTTTGGGCCCAGCTCATCATCCATATGTAGCATCTCCCTCAAGATGTTGGTACTAATGGACCAACCCAATGGTTTGTCTACCTGGCTGTATGTCGTCATCATCATCATCGTCATCATCTTTATCATCATCATCATCATCATCATTGTCATGATCATTGTCATCATCATCTTCATCTTCATCATCGTCATCATCATTGTCATCTGTCATCATCATCATCATCATCATCATCATCATCATCATCGTCATCTATCACCATCATCTTCATCTGTCATCATCATCATCATTGTCATCATTACAGCAATCATTTATGTCTCGCTTTTATGTTGGTTGACAAAACATTTGATATTTTATCTCACTTGATCCTCATAACAGCCCTGTGAGGGAGGTACTATTATACCTTTTATTATACAGTTATCCCTTCCACATCATGGGGATTAGGGTACAGTGCCCCCGTGATCTGGAAAATCTGCATAAAATTTTTGGCCCTCCCTTCATACCAGACAAGAAGCCCGAATTATTGTGGTATTAAAAGAAAAAATGTGTTGCTATTATACAATACTATACATATATTTTATGCATTTCTGAATTTCTAAATTTTTCTGTGTCATCTGCTGGCCTTTGTACATTGTTCTGCAAAACTTCCAAAAATTCCCATTTAATTTCTTATGCCCACCCACAATATATCAAAACTGAGATGGGTAAAGTCACAATGTGGAAGGGATAACTGTACCTATGTGCCTTTTTACAGATGAGGAAACTGAGGCTGAGAGAGTTTAAATGACTTTCCCAGGGTCCCACAGTTAGTAAGTGCTTTATAGAGTGCCTGGAAAATAGTAGGTGCTTAACAAATACTTAAGGGTAGCTAGGTGGTGCAGCAGAGTGCCAGACCTAGAATCAGGAAGACTCAGCTTCCTGAGTTAAAATCTAGCTTCAAAACTTACTAGTTGTGGGACCCTGGGCAAGTCACTTAACCCTGTTTGCCTCAGTTTCCTCATCTGTAAAATGAGTTGAAGGAAATGGCAAACCAGTCCAGTATCTCTGCCAAGAAAACCCCAAATGGGGTCATGAAGAGTAGGACATGACTGAAAATGACCGAACAACAACAGATAAACATTTGTTGACTTGTTGACTTGATTTGAGTAAACGACTGAGGAGTGCCATCTACTACACTACCCAGGAGCCGCTCGTCATCTAGCAAACAAAAAATGCTCATTCTCTGTGAACTTTCATAGAATCTCTGCTCTGGACGGCCTTTTACTGTGATGCTTGTCCACTATGGCATAAATTGGAGGTTGATGCTCACCAAAGCTGCTCACCAGCATCGTGGAGAACCTACCCAAAGGCCCGGCAGAAGAGCCACTCCCCACTTATGCTCTGGCTTGCCAATAACATTGTGCCACCTAGACTGGGCTCTGGAACGGTACTGGGCCTCCTCAAGGACATGAGTGGTCAAAGCTCCTCAAAGGAGGTCAACCTAATCACACACACATGAAAACAACGTGGATGCTAAAAGCAAGTGTTTTAGGTGATGATATATTTACATTTATACACATATTTATATGGAAATCTCCCATGGGGTCACAGATCTATACCTAGAAGGGACCTCAGAAACCATCTAGTCCAATCCCTTCATTTTACACATGAGGAAACTGACGCCCAAGGACATAGAGTCACCAGGGAGTATGGAGGAAGATTTGATTCCAGGTCGTCTGACTTCAGTCAGTGCTCTTTCCTCTGTTGCCACACTACCCCTCCTTTCCTCTTTTAGTGCCCTCAGCTCTGTGCAGAGGACAAGTGTTTCAATGATCCATACCCATAGGGTTGGCGCCCAGTGATTAACAGCTATAAACCATGCTGCTAAGTTCTATTTCCCCCTTTTCCATTTAGCTATACATGAACCCATTGGTCTTTGTTGACTTCTAATGTGACTCACAGGATCAGGGAGGAAAGAGTATAGAGGAAATTATTAGTGTTGCCCTTTGCATTTGAGTGGTAGGAAATGGTTTTCCTCTGCTCTGCCACACTTTGTCACCATGCCACATATCTTTCTCACCCCCCACACAGAAAACATTCCCTAAGAGTTAGCAGGTATGGTCAGATTAGAGCTGTGTTGAATCCTGGCTATGCGCAATATTCTTTTGCTTGGACATCAAGAAATTTGGGGATACTTCACTAATCTCTCTAGGCTAAAATTCAGGAGGGCATCCTTAGAAATATGAAGTACATTTTTTAAAAATGTGACTCCAGATTACTGAAAGAACTTAAAAATTCATTCCTATGAGAAAACAGAGAAAACAAAAGATGGGAAGATATGGGCTAGACACTAGTACAAGTAGGTGGATCATTGGGTGGAATAGCAAAGATGCCATCTTGGAAGGATCTCCAGAGAGGTGACTAAGAGATCGGTGGTTGACCCAGAACTATTTAGCATTTTTTTTTAATCAATGACTTGGATAAATCCATAGATGATGACACAGTTGAAGGGGTGAGCAAGACATTAGATGGCAGAGCCAAAACTTTGGGTCCAGTAAAATAAGATGAAATGTAATAGGTGTAACCACTATGGGGTGTTATCTGGAAGGGTTTGGGAATTTAGATGGAAAAGCAGGGTAGGAAGGAAGCAATTATTCTTCTCTCTTCTTCAGCCCTACCTTTTTCAGGCTGGCCAGATTCTTTCCTCAGCTCCTTCCTTAGAGAGATAACTCTCACTTAGGCAATGGTTCCTACTAGGTATCAGCTCTTGGTGTCATCAGGATGCATGCCTAGAAAAGGACAATGGGGGGGGGGAGGCGAGGAATGAGCTCTGCCTGTGGGCTGTGCTGTCTCTGAGAAAAGCATCTCGAATTTTAAGAAGTCTGCCAGGCCACCTAAGTCCATGTGTTAAGCTAAATGACTGCCAAGTCATGTGGTTCATCTTCTCTGCCATTTAGGAGCTTATAAAAGTCATTTCCAGAGGCAGCGAGGTGGCACAGTGGATAGAGCACCAGCCCTGAAATCAGGAAGACCTGAGTACAAATCCGGCCTCAGACCAAACACTTGACACTTACTAGCTGTGTGACCCTGGGCAAGTCACTTAACCCCAGTTGCCTATAAATAAATAAATAGATAGATAGCTAGATAAAAAAATAAATAAATAAATAAACAAACAGACAAACAAACAAGTAAATAAATAAATAAATAAGTGAAAGATTTTTAAAGTCATTTCCAAGTCAAACCCATAAAATTTCCCCTCATTCAGCTCAACTCCCACTAAGGGGGCATGGGAGTGGGGGGGAGGGGGAGAGCCATTTGGCATTTTGGACTGAGATTGAAACCTCTGTTGTTTAGTTGTGTGCTCTGTAAACTGTTTGCTGACTTTCATTTCAGTCTCCCCTGTGTGCAGTTAATAAAAGACATGAATTAGACAGCATAGGAATTACGACTGGTCATAGTTACTTATGAAAACATCAAAAATTACAACAGCTTAAGAAACAGAGGACTCGTGTAATACGGCCGCTCGTCCTCCTCGGCATGGAGGAAGAGGGAGGCAGGGAGAGTCAGGCTTCACCGTTCTTCACGCTTAAGGACCAATGACAGACAGCCGCTTCACCCCCTTTTCAGGAGTTTAGGAGAGCTTTATTCTCCCCTTAAAGCATCCACTGGAAAATCTGTATCTCTCTGATGGGAAGCCCTCTATCCCATGGCTGCCAGCCCCTTGGCTCTCTCAAAATCTGAAACTCCAACTGAATTGCATCTCCTGAGTCCAGAATTTCCTGAGCCCAGGGCCACTTGAGGCTATCTACTCTGCCAACCCGGGTCCACTCATGGGACCTTTCTTAGGGCAAGGTGCCAAGTGTTACTACTGTGTTAAATTGAAAGCATTCTTTAAAAAGTTGACAGTTTCACATACAATCTCCTTTTTGGTCCTTTGTGTACTGAAATATTCATTATTTTTTGATAATTATTAAGTTCATAATAAAAATGCAATTTTTAAAAAAGGGAGAGAAAATGGCTGTTTGAGCCTAGAGGGCAGAGCTGGTAGCTGTTGGTAGATGTGACCAGAGAAGGAGATGAGGTTCTGTGCAGGGCTGTGCTGAGGCCATCTCCAGCTCTAACTGGCTAGAGACGCTATTGTTACATGTCCAGCATGAGCGTGCATACCTTGGAAATACCAACACAAATCAGGCCTTGATGCATTGCTTTGTTGATTGCCCAGACTTCAGAAAGTGACGGAGAATATGTTAACAATGCATATTAAACTTCAAAGTTGACTAAATATTTACCAGGACATTCCTGGGTATAAGGAAAAGCTTCTTGAGAATTAACACTATACAAAGAGACCCAAAAAAGAAAGAGAGAAATGAGCCATATGCACAAAAAAAATATTTATAGCAGCTTTTTTTTGTGGGCTAAGAATTGGAAACTGAAGGGATGCCCATGTATTGGTTAGACAAATTATAGCATATTAATATAATGGAATATTATTATGCCACAAGATATGATGAAGGGAATGGTTTCAGAGAAACCTGGAAAGACTTGTATGAACTGATGCAGAGGGAAGGGAGCAGAGCCTGGAGAACAATTTATACAACAAAACACTGTCAAGAAAAACAATTTTGAAAGGCTTAAAATAAGCTCAGATCAATATAAGAACCAACTATGAGTTCAGAGGACTGATGATGGAGAGAAGGTGAGAGGTTCAAGTTGCAGAGGGAGACATGCATTTTCAGATATGGCCAATGTGGGAATTTGTTTCACTTGATTACACGTATTTGTTTTAAAAAATATTTTTGTTTTATTTTCTATTTTGGTAAAGGAAAACAGAAAGGGGGGAGATAGAAAAAATGTGCTTTTGTTCATTGAAAAAGCAAAATTAAATATCTAAAAGCACATGGTCTACCCTGGGAAGTAGTGGGTTTTCCCCAATATGGAGGCATTTTAGTGAAGCCTAGGTGACTACCTGTAGATATATTGTTGATGGGAATTTCTTTTAGAGCAGATGACCTCTGAGGTCCCTTCCAACTTAGATTCTACAATTTCGTGAAATCATTCTTAATTCTCATCTTCAGAGTTAAGGAAATGGTGGTTCCTAGCCCCTAATTCACTATACAGAAGGCTCTTGGGTTGTAGAAAATATTGCTCTCCCAGCAAGGTCATTGCCCTGACAATTTAAGCCAAACAAAAA